AATCGTTCGTCAAACGTGTTTTATTGTATGAGATACTTGCGCTCCTCATCTCAAGTGGGTTCTGATCCCCGCAGCCCCTCCCTCAACTACTTCGTATTTATGGTCTGTGCCCGGCTGATATTTCTCGTTGTGGTCGCCGCTATTTGGCATTACCTGGGTCTGGGCCTGGGCAGTCACGACATCTGAACAACCAGCCCCATATTGCCGACGACAGCTCAAGGTCGCATTCCTTGCAGGTGACGCAGTCGTCAGTCGTCGGTCGTTTGGCGATTTGTTTCACTTCGGCACTCGATGTCTGTTTCACGGGGTCTTAGGACCTGACTTTCAGTATCTCTATTCCGAAGATTGGTGAGTGAGTGAGTGGGCGGACAAATGAGTTTTGGTTTCGGCTACCGATCCGCTGCTCAAGCCAAGAAAATTCCATGACAAGTGCTTGGGAATCAATCAAATCTTTGGTTGCATTGGCTTGCAGCACGTGTGTGTACTTAGCTCGGCTTAGTTCCGCTTTTAATTATTAGTTGTGTGTACATTTATTTTTTTATATTAGCAAAATAACCTGCAATAGGTAATCTTAGTGATTGTCGTTTTTCTAACAATGAAAGATAATACCTAACCAATAGATTAGATTTATAAATATTTTTAGAAGTTTATTAAATATTCGTTGTGATATTTTAATATTAGCAAGTATTGGTCTTATAGCTAGGTTATCTAGTTTACCAAAATTGCCAAGAACTATCAGTATAAAACTGACTTTTTTTTTAATATTTTTCCCCCTTCATTCTCAAAACTTTTGATACTATCACAAAATCAAACGATTTTCTTTGGAATTTTCCTTCATTTACTTTGATGTGGGTGTATATCGTACAGACAGTTCCTGTTCAGAGATATAGGCATTGCCATTAACACTCCCAGAGAAAAACCGAAGACAAACTAGAGTCGGCACTTTGAGATTCCATCTGCACCTAATTTATGATGGGGAGAGCTTCTTTTTTTCCCGCCAGCAATGGCAATAAACAGGAGATCCCAGTACGTGAGCAGTACTGCTAAATGAAGTCACGATCGTTCGGCCAAGAAGATCTGTGGGGGATGTGGTGGTGGTGGAGGCCCAAGTTGGGTGTGTCCGGTGATCAGCCTCCAGCTCCAGCCGGTGGAATCTCACAGAGAAGCGAAGCTCAGTGGGTTAATGGAACAGCAAAGTGAGACCGAGGAGAAATAATTTCCGCCAAATGAGGATCTTCTAAGGCCAGATAACTAATGATTTATTTTAAATGCGTACATTCATTAACATTTACTGAGGGTTTTAAACTTTCTTTATACATTTACCAGCCATTCTTTTATAATATTTAAGTTTTTTATTTTATTGAAAAGAACTAATTGTTTGAAGACTATTTTCGAAATTTAAATTATTTCTTTTATTAACTTTTTAATTTTTTTAATCAACTATTTTCTGTGCATTATAATTTCAGCTGCAAAAAATCATTTGTTTTCAATCCGGGCTTGGCTTTCTTAATTAAAGAAAATTTGTTAAAATATTTACCGGTTAAAAGTTAATTGCAAATGGTTTTGGGTGACTCGAGGCCAGCGGGGGAGGCTAGGTGAAGGGGCAGGGGCCTCAGTTCAGGGCGAAGTGAAACATGGACTACATCTCTTTATGGCCGGCAAGTGTCTGTCGAGATGACTGCCAGTCGTCAGCTTCTCCCGAGCGTTCGAATCGCTTGGCCACGGTGCGGATTTGGTACATTGTTGGTCTTGGTTCGACAGCCCAGGGAGTAAGAAATAGCTTAAACTTTTACTTTCACTGCCAATTTGACTGAACGAACAGGCCTCGTCTCTCAATTTGCATGGCAGCTGGATGAGAGGGGGGGTTTCCTATGGTATAGGATCGTATGGTATCTTATGGTATGGCTGAACAATGTTATTGTGCGCTGTGTCTAAGACTCATTTGCAAATGTATCTGGCGGCAATTTAGCGCACAGATACGAGTGTGTGCCTCTGCCAGCCCCTTCGCCCAGTGCATTGTCTTGGGTTTAAGCCTTTAGTTTAATTTTATTTTCACAACATCTTCGGCTCACCTTTGTGTCCAAGTGCTCAGCACACGTGTATTCACATGTGCTGCAATTTGATCGTCACGTCGAGATTTCAGCCGCAGCAGGCAGCAAATGTTAATGATGAGCATTTGATAATAGTCACTAGTCGCGAACCAATCTTCTTCTCCGGCTTAACTGATGTTGGACATGCTGCTTTAAGTTGTTTACCCGATTATTCGCATGTATTTCGACTGTCAGGAAAATGGTCGTTGACTGCTCATCAGCTCTTCGATTCGGCGAAAGTTTTTCCAAGTGATTTGAGCCATCCAATGGTTGGGAGGATGCTCTTGGGTTTGGTGAGAAAACTGCCCACTAAAATAAATAAAGTTTTTATAAGGATAGATTTTACTTAAAATTTTTGTTAATATTATTATATAAATAAATACAGTTCAGATTAGTTTAAACTTATTAATTACCTTACTGTCATTTCCTGAAATATTTATGGAAGTTAATAACACGATATTTAATTGTATAATTGCAAATGTAAAACAATAATTGTATATTTTTATTCTCTTCAAGCCACTAAATTCTTATTGAAATATATTTTAAAGATACATTTTATAGTTAGAATAACGTAAGTGAAATTTCTTTAAAAATCTGTATTTTTTTATTATTATTGAAGCTATTCTTTGTTAAACTTATAGATTTAATCGAACTCCACAAAAAGTCAAAGTTAAGGCAGCAATTAAAAGCCAATAATCATATAGCAATTTCTTAGCCGAGCATTGCTTATCTCGTTTTTCTCGGGTTGAGTTAGTTGACTGGCGATTTTGGCCTTGTTCTTAATAGACAAGCGCTGTTTTTGCATATATTTTCATGGCAGATGCATAATTAAGCCGTCGTCGTATCGGGTTCTATAGTTTCACAACTGACCACAGTGACGATGCTAGCCTTGCATAAAAAGAATGCAGCTGCGAAGTTCGTTGCCTAAGTCTTTCGTAGGCGGGCAGCTCGGAATTCTAATCAAGGCCGGAGGGGCGTGGCCCGGCCAGACGTCACGTAGACGAAAGCCTAACGAAAAAACAAAGAAAAAACTAACTTTCTTTCCTACACTCTCACTTTGGCAGCTTATCTGGAATGTGTTTATCTTGCATCTGCATAAATATAGAGATGCGACATCGAGCATTTCGTAAGATTTAAATACGTTTCATTCGGGCCATGTTTTCATTTTCATTCGGCCGTGTTTATGTTGGAAATCTTCCGATCGGTAACACAGATTTAGAGTTAAAGACGCGTGTGCCTACGTAATCGACTTGGCACGTCTTTCGGCCAGGTGAAAGACCCCAAGATACGAAAGTCGCCCGCGGCGAAGTGCTGACATATTGATGCTGGCTCGGCTGACTCTTCCACGGCAGTTCAATGGTAGCTCACAATAACAGAATTCGGATTGAATGGTGTGTGTCACACTCGATTCCACAATTAAGTTGGTAAAAGTCAACAATCTGAGCTGATATACGAAGTGAGTTGGGAAGTTGAGTGTCTCTATGAATAGAAACAAGGAAGACAAGGGGAGTCGAGTTGAGGAAGAGAGATTTAACTCGAAATCATAGTAATTATATTTTTGAGCTGGTAACCAAGACCCACCCGACAATGCAAAGTAATGCTAAGAAATCATAAGATAAGATAATCGATAAAAATACAGGAAAAAAGATAAAAGATATGCTCATAATCCGAATTAATTCCAAATAATCTAAATACTGTCAAAACACTCAAAAAATATTATGTCACACACTCATTATGAATATGACATATATTTAGAAAATGTTTTGCTTCTTTTTTAACTTTACAAATTCCCAATCAAACTTGGCATACTCCATTTACCCAAACAATCTTCAATTAAGTGCCAGCCTAGTTGTAGGAAAATCAAATTCAAATTAAGATTCCGACCCAAGCTTCGGCCCCCGGCTGTGCCGGCAGGCAATAAATTTGATATTCAAAGTAAATTTTCAATTTCTACGCGAATAGATATTTCCATAAATAAACCGCATAAATCAGAGCTGCGATCGCAGAGTTGACAGAGCTCAAAAGCGAACTCGGCTCATTAGTAATCAAAAGCTGTGCAGCTCCGCAGACTGCGGAGAATTCGGGGATCGGGGGGATAATCGGAGTCAGGCTATGAGACACGGCCATTGAATTCTGGCCGAGAGCAGAGACTTGCACAAATTGTTGCACAAGCCGCGGAGCAGTGATTCGTGGGCTGTAAGTGGCTGCTTGCCACTGGAGCGATGTCGCCAACGCACCGACGTCGCCTCCAGCTCCTTTTAATGTTCATCCATCACAGGAAGAAAAATATTTAAATAATGTTTCATTTAAAAAATAATAATATGTCTCTGTTATTCGCTTTTCGTGTTCTGGAATATTACAAAATAATACTTTAAAAATTCATAAATAATTAATCTGGGATTTCGATAAGGTTTTGTGCTATACATCTTTTTAAAATCATATTTTTAAGCTCAGTGTATTCTCCGGGGGAGCGATAGCCCAGACTCTCCAGACCACCGAGCACAGAACCCCTGTTACCTTGTTGACTTTGGCTTAATGGCCATGCGGCTGTGTTGCTCTGTGGCAATTTAAATATTTTAGCCATTTCATTTTGAGCCAGTGCCGCTGACCGGCAAAAACACTCGAGTGTCGCTTGTTGAGCGGTAAAAACATCGTCAGAAATTTCTACTACTTTGCATTTTAGCTGCGATCATTACTTCAGTAGTTTACAACATTTTTTTAAGCTTTTCGGTAAGAGTTTTGATGTTAGATGGAATTCGTCAGGCACCAGCATAAGTAGTAGCGATGGGGAAAGAAACATTTAAAAATATACTTAAATTTACCAAAACAATTTAAAGTATGATTATAAATATTAAGATACGATTTATTGATGGTCAATAATTTTATAGAAAATACCACGTTTTAAAGTTTTATCTAGCTTCGTTTTTAATTAAGTCTCGGATATTTTCATTTAACACCTTTGATTTACAAAAAGGCATACACATTATTAGTTAATTAGCAACTTTATTATATGCTACACATGGCTGGAATAGTAAATAAATAAAAATTCCAGTAGCCCTTAAGTCTCATGACTTTTTAAATTCCATAAATGTGAAATATTTGTGTTTTAAGATAAATATGATAAATATTTTAACATTGTAGTAGCAAACAAACATGGATACAAAAGCTAAGTAGTTTAATAATGAATATTTTTCAAATATTTGTCTTAATTGTTTTTGTTTGAGGACTTTTTGACCTTGATCTTGGTTCCGCCCACCGTTGACTTTTTGCGGCCGTTCAATTTGGCCTTGTTAGAGGACAATACAGCTGGTTTGGGCTTAACCACCCTGGCCTCGACCCGAATGTACAGATCGTAGTTGAAGTCGCCGCAAGTCTTGCCTAAATGTGAAATATTATTTAAGTTAGAATTACAAATATCTAGGTAATAAATTTGTATCTTACCACAACACATTTCCTCGCCGCAGGACTCGCAGGTCATCAGTCTAGTTTCCACAATGCCCGATTTGTTCTTGATTTTCTTCACACAATTGTTCAGCGCGAACTCCCTGCGATCGCGGGCCTCGGTTTTCAGCTCCAACTTTCCCATCTCGACCATCCGGCTGAAGTACTCCTCCTCCTGTTTGTTCTTGGGCCTCAGGGTAGTCAGCATCTTCCAATCGATGGGCACCGCACAGAGTTCCATCAGCACCACGTCCTTCATTTCACTGGGCACCGGATCTGCATAGGCATACATCGCCTCCCGCTCCCCATTGGCCCGCATCAGCTTTCGCATCTCCTTCTTGGGCATCTTGAAGGCGTAGTCCTTCTCCCGGATCTTTATTTCCTCGGCGCGCACCTTCACCGGTCGCATCTTGTAGTCGGGCACCTTTTCCAGCAGCCGCTTGAACTCCTCGACCGTCTGGATATTGCTGCGACTGAGGTCCAAAACGGGAACCACCGTCTTCTTTTTGCCCAGAAGGTCGTCTAGTTTGCTCATTTTAAATTTTTATATCTATTCGGAATTTTTAGAATTATTTTTAAGGTTTTGTTAATTGACTTCTTAAAAATGTATATTTTAAAACTTACTTACCTTCCTTTAGAAATGTGTTATTGAGTAGTAAATATTTGTCGTTTTCTATACCTTGCCAAAGTACAAACTCTGAAAAATCCTTAATATCGATTAAACGTTGCCGGTTGCCAAGCAATTTTCGTATTTCATTTTTTTTAGGGGTTTTCTAACCAAGCCGACTGACTAAACTTCCGATTCTCTCTTTCCAGATCCACGAACAGCTCTATCACGTGCCGAAGCCACAAGTTGTTGATAAGTCACTGGGCAAACAACAAATACCCGACCCGAAGACCCAAGAAAACCCGCCGAGAAACAGAAACAAACAAACTCAAAACTCAAAACACAAAACTCTGGGTTGGCATTTCATTTGCCTGGATCGCGTTACGTGGTGCGGTTGGTGTTTCGTCTGTTCGTCTGCCCGCCAAAAAGAAAGTCACGACAGAAACGAGATTTCCAAGATTCTGCAACGAAAGTCAAAGTTACAAGTTTACTCCAAATTCGAGTCTTCGGCCCGGTTCAACGTCTTGCCACTTTCGGGTCTCCAGCTTTTCGGTGTCTCGGTGTCTCCCCGTGTGTGCCACTTTAGAAAGTGAAAATCGAGTGCAGTCCGCTACTTTGTCTGAATCGGAATCCATCGGCGGCCTTTGGGCGCTGCAGTTGAAAGTGAATTTGATTTAGGCTGCAAGTGATTTTCGATTTTCGGGTTTCGGCTTTCGTCTTGCGGGCGCTCAATTCATCATTATCGATCAGTAGCCCGGAGTTTTGGCTACTTGAATCCACTTCACATCCAGCGGCAGGAGGGCCCGACCAATAAGTGCAGCTACAATGGAGGCCGAGGAAGTTACAAAACTCGTCGATGGCGTATACAGGGTAAGGCCTTTTCTTAATTATTACCACATTTTGTATTTGTTTTATTAATTAAACCACTCTATGAATGTTAATTGCCGAGCAAACGGGATGCTACGGAAAATATTGAAATTCTAGGGAACCCAAAGACATTTTTAAAGGTTTAAAGTCTGAAGTTTTCGATTTGATTCTACAATGAAATGGTAAAAATAAAATCAAAATATAGAAAATAAGCTTAACAAAAAAACGATTTTAGATTAGAAAAATAAAACTATTTGGTAATTTTTACGACTTTTAATTACAAATTCAAAGAATCTTTAATTCCTTCCCCAATTACATATTGTCTATTAATATTTTTTTGGGGTCAAATCAAGACTTATGTAACCCCACAATCACCTAACGCAGCTATTGCATGAAGGCCATTTCTATTAGCCACTTGAGACTAATTCACTGTAAGGCTCATAACGATGTTTACCCTTTTGGAAAACAATTTATAATTTTAAACGGTTGCTTTTTGTAGACTAAATTTATCGCCACACGCGATCTCCATAAGCGGCTGCAAATGAAAGCAAGCCACATTAATCTATAAAATGAAAACAAAAAACCGTGACTTGAAAGTTTACCCCGAATACCCTTGAATAATGTCTGGAAAATAAGTAATAAAAAAAAGTAACCTTAAATATTAGGTTTTAAGAATGTACAGTAATTTGTTTTCTGTTCTTTTACATTTAACTGGCATGCTTTGTATTTAATTGGTTAAAGTGACTAAATAATTTCAGGAAAGTAATCTTATTTTTGAAAAAAGATAGAGTGTAACCTTTGCAAGGTGATGATTATAAAAAAACGTAAGTGCATAGGAAACCTTTAGTTTAATAGGTACTTGCTTTAATAACTTTAAAAACTCTAGTTATAAATGCTAAAGGCAAGGATGTTTTTTATAATTTAGTTCTTTTTATTGTATTCATACCTATTAATTAGACAGGGTAACAAACTTGAGCTCAAGTTTTAACTACCGCTCGAAAAGGGTGTTTAAATCATAACCAGAAACGGAGAACCATAAATATTTGAAGATAAAAATGGCAAGCAGCATTTGAAAGTGAATTTTTTCTTGCTGTAAATTCGTAGCCAAATTTGGTCACGACATACGGTGGCTGTATGGCGGTTGTATCTGTCGGCATACTTTTTTGGCCATATCGTATAGGCCAACCGTATATCCAACGGAGCAAACGAGTTCAATTGGAGGTTTGATTTGGTTGTTTGCGGATCCCCTGAAATCCTCCCAACTCCCAAAGCGACGACAGACGCGGCGACGACTCCGCCTCGAGAGTTTGGCAAGTTTCGGCTTCTCTTTTTCTTTTGCAGCGGTTGCATCTGCCCCAAGTTGATGGGTATTGCACACTTCGCGCATCTATTTCATTATGTAACTTAAAGTTTTTTTGTTTTGTTTTTTTTTTTTGGGAAAACTTGCTGTTGCTGTAGCTGTTTCTGCGGTTTCAGCCGCTTGAAGTTGCGGAAATTTTGTTTTTGGGCCGTTTCCTTGGTTGTTGCACATGGCTGCATTTTCGCGACCACCATTTGCATTTTTCCCGCTGTGTTTTTATTTTTTCGCACTGTTATTGTCTATTTGTGACAGCGTCGTCGTCGCAGCCGTGTAATGTAAATCGAATAAATAGGTGCTGCTGGCTGTTTTAATTAGTGGGCCTGCCTGCAGGCACTTGACAAACGCGAGTGCAAACGAAAGACTCAGGAAACGAACTTGCTCTGTCAATGGCAGGAAAAAAATCGGAATTGGAATCTCAGTGGTCGTGCATCAATCAACTGAACTGAACTCACTTCCCGAACAAACACATACACACCAGATTATGAGTTAATTCCTGGTGATTTATGCGCAATTGTCTTGACTGCTCCGGTTGAACTGGTCTATCCATCGATTTATTATATCAACATTTGATTTTCACATTTTTTCTTCGTTTTAGTGCATTTATTTTCGCATAATAGATAGTTTGTCTTGGTGCCGGGGACTGTGTGAATTAACTTCTGGGTTGGTCTGTGCAAGTTCTTGAACGGGTTTTAATTAATTCGATACCATTCGGTTTTCGGCTGGCTATTCCAAACTCATTAGCAGACCGCTTTTGCTTATCTCTATTTAGAGTCGCAGTTTGGCCTTTCTAAAATTGGCACACTTAACTGTTTTAAGAGGGTTTCTAGATGTGCGGGTATGCAAATATAGCAAGAATGTTTAATCTTTTCAGATTGATCTACTTTAAAAAGTTTTTTAAGATATATATCTTGTACACTTGAAAATTAAAATTATGTTTGTAAACAGTAATTTTTTATTACTTATTTGCACAAAACCCCTAAATTATATGTTTTGTACTTTGACCATAATTTATTGTTATTTTCGCAGCATTTTTATGTTTGTAAAAATGATTAATTTAGATCGCTTAAGTACTGAAATGCTTATATAATTCACCAGCTTCATTGTAATTTATGAAACTCGCTGAATTTTTTGCTCGCACCCGTAATAAATCTTGTACTCCGTTCGTCCATAAATCTTGAATGGCAAACGAGTAAAGTTGGTTGAGAGATGCACTCAAGAGATGATTGCACTAGCCGCTTTCACTTTCCCTTTTAAATATATTTATCTAAAGACAAAACGATTTTTTTAATTCTTTTAAAAATGCCAATAAAATTTGTTATACAAATGAGATGGTTCATAATAAGTTTTTGTTTTCTTTGTGAGTCATAATGGTAATTTTAGCTTTACTGCCATTCAAATTATCCCACACACAGAACCCCTCAAAGTTGTTCGTGAATCCATAGTATTTTGTCGAGTGAATAAAACCGCAAGTTGGGCCGTCAAGTCGATGTTAAAAACGCATTTCATCCAAACAGCTGCCAGCCACCGTCATTCTGGTGGCGATGAATGCCTTCGGATTGTTTGTCATTCGCTTAGATTTATGGCACATTCCCCGCAACATAAATCGAAACTGAAGCCGCCGTGAGAGCCCGATGCCTGATGCCGGTGATCGGATCAGAATGACATCCAGCTGACCACACAAAAGCCAACCTGCTGGGGGCAAAAAATGAAGAAAAATAAAATAAAAGGCAGGCTGGCGAAGAAGGAGGTGAAGCCCCTCAAGAGTTTGGCACCCAGCGTGGTGCACATAGATACATGTAGTACTTGGATACAAATGGTGGGACGAAGGTGTCCGATGTGCCGAAGCTCCGGCAAGAAATGCAGAAATAAATTAAAATTGCAGCCACCTAATGCCCACAGACGGGCCGGGGGGTTTGGATTGGAGCTGTGAAAAGAGGCGGCAAGTGTGCACTTCGGACCAAAGAACTGCAGCTGATTGCCATGTTTGAAAGGCATTTCTAAGGCTGCTGCTGCGTTAGAGGGGCCGACGCCACTCGGAACGATGTCACATCGTCTGGATTGAGGGGATCGGATTGGGAATGGGCATGGGCATGGGTATGACCATGGCAAATGGAACTGGGTTAACGTCCGACTCGCCGGCGAGAAGCCCTATCAATCCCGCTGGGTCCACTTCTCGGCTACCCTAACTGAAGGGATTGTGCGGATTTTTCTAAACGCTTGAATTAAATTGATTTCTGATATTATTAAGAGCACTTGCGTTGACCGGAACTAAACGATTTCTTTAATAATTTAACTTCTTTGACATCTTTTACTTATCAGAATGTACCTTGTGTGATACTATCTCTTGGTTCTTTTAAGGTTTATCTACCAAATGAAAAAAATATATATTTTCTCAAATTCATACATTTTGTTTTCCATTTATTTTAACTATTACTATCTCTTGGTACTTTAAAGGTTTAACCTTCAAAAACAATAAAAAACATATTTTCACAAATTTATCAAATATGTTACCATTTCTTTTAAAGCTTACTAAATACATATATTTATAATATTTATTTATATACCTTTCTCAACATAGTATCTTATCTTTATTTAACATCATTAGTGGAGTCCACTCATTTTGTACCTCGTTAAAGTCCAACAACTTGTCATGTCCTGCTTCCATATATGTATATCCCTATCACCAAGGACATCTAGTCTTCGTTTAGACAAAATTATAATTTCATTTCAGCGGGTTTTCCAAGTGCCTGGGAAGAAGTCACGCAAGCGAGAATTATTTACGTTTAGCATTTTTCACGCACTTTGCGTTCATCCGTCGGAGAGTTGGGGTCTCGGAAAGGGGGGTCTTACCACTCCTAGGTTCCCCGAAACCCCTCCATCTCTAGTAAAAAAGGCGTGACTGGTTGCGCCTTGACGCCTTCGTTGAGGTTTTGTCAACAGTTGAAGTTGACTTGGGTTGCCGTCGTTGTTGCTGGCAAACCTGTTGCGTGTTGCTTTTTGCATTTGTTGGTTTCTAATTGGCATAATTGCGGTTTACTGTTGTTGTTTTGGTCGGTGCTGCATTCTCGCATGCTCTGAAGTGGGTGTGTCGCTCGCTGGCGTCGTTGAATTATGGCCTAACCTGCAAGAGGCTCCCCAAAAGGCGCCTCATTTCCCTGATCCACACTACCAAATAAACACGGGAAAAAACTATTGCTAAGAATGCTATAATTATTAAAAATAACAATCAATTCTAAATCCCTTTATATTTAAACTTAGAATTTTGATGGTCTTGCGTTTGGGATTCCGTCAAAAATTACTATGATTGAATAATATGAAAAAACTCTGTTTTGACAAGATAGTTTGGGTTCATAAATCTTAGAATAAAATATTATAGAAATTTTCCGAAAAAACTAATATTTTATTTTCCAACTTTTAAGAATGATACATTTTTAAATTATTTTTAAGTAGATATTTTTATACAATAGTTTTAAAAGGAACTAAAGGTTTTGACCTTTTTTTTCTGTGTACCGCCCAACATTCCGCCTGGTTGGCTTTTTAAGCAATGGGGAGGCTTTCGTGTTATGCTTTGCATTTAGTCTGTGTTTTAATTAAAAAAAATTATACCTGTGTGGCGCTCACTGCTGGCGATTTATGTTAAGCGACGATTAGAGAGCAAGTCAGTTGGGTTTGGGCCTAGGCTTTCAACAGGGGATTGGGATCTGGATACTGTACACTGAGCAAGACTACCGCAATTTATTTTGGGTTAAGTGTTGTCGGTGGGTCGCAGATTCGCGGGCGTGATAAGCGATTGCGTCAGCTTTAAGCCAAGAGTGGGTGAGCAAGGAGAAATGTTAATTGCTGGATCGAACGAGCAGGAATTTGTTAAGCAGTTAGGCCAATTACACGAGCTGATAGCCATCGCATTTAAAGGAAACCTGATTTGTACTTTGGTTATTTAATTGCGAGCAATACAAGGTTTAAAGCAAGTAAAATAGGATTAAAAAGCGAGTTGCTTTGGAGTATTCTTTACTTAAAATAAGGGGTGTGCAGAATATTACCAAATCTAATTATGTATATTTTAATTTATAAAGAAAACACAGTGGAAAAATCTAAAAGAGTTATACAAAAAATGCATTTTGTTAATAATAGCTCTTAGAAACTCATTTAACACTTTTTTCCTTCAAATACTTTGGTTTGTTCATTGATTTTATAATCATTCGTCGCAATTACATTCAAGGGTATAATCATTTTTACGAACCTTAAGGTAAATCCCAAATTAAATACTCTGAGTTCAATCCGAAAACATTGATTGCATTAACCACAAATTGAGTTTGCAGCCAAGCGGTGAAAAACGAATCAATTAACATTGATAAACCCATAAACGCTGAGGCCCAAAGGTCTTCGAAAACTCACTTGAGTCGCACGAAGTCACTTGGCAATCTGTACGTGTTATTAAAGTATCTGTATCAAAATTAAATAAACTGCGCTGAGGTCAGCAAAGTCGAGTGCACTTGGGTAGAGTAAACATTAGAAGATACATCGAATTGCAGGCTTTTCTTACAGCAGGTAAAGATACAGATATCTTTAAGTGCAGCTTTAAACTAAATCAGCCAGCTAGTAGATCATAAAAGCAAACAAACTCGAATAAGTTGAATCGTTAAACGGAGACGACCTTGTGGTTAAATATCTAAGTATCTGAGTATCTAAGTATCTCGGCTCGAGTGCTCGCTCGATTCATTCCCACGCCCGGCTGCCGCATTTGTAGCCAATAAATTTAGAAAAGCAAATATGTCGAGGCGTAAACATTTGGCAATAACCCGTGGCACAAACGAGGCGAACTGTTCCGCACAGAATGCGATGTTTACATATGGGTTTTTGACATTTCGTTGCTAATTACTTGGGGGCCAAGTGATTCGGAAGTTCGACCTGAGTGCCGGGCTTTTTATTACTGTGGGCGGAAGTGATTGGTGAGAACAACAATCAATTATACTTACCCGAAATATCGTATAGTTCCTAACGAACATTTAAAAAGTGTGGCTTTGGAACAATGCAAACGCTTTGTGGCCAAATATTTTGGGGCTTGTGTTTTTGGGGCTTGCGTGTTAAGTATTCGGCATTGTCTGCTCGACAACGACAACTCAACTTTAGGCCAAGCCCAGGACCAAAGTGTTTCTTTGTCATTATTTATGGTGTTTTATGGTGTCAACACGGCGGTGATGTCAGCCTCCCTTCCATATGACACTCCATTTACGTCATCCCGCCGTAATGCAAGTTTATCTTAAAGCCCAGTCTCGAATTGTATGCAAATCTGTACTCATGTGCCAAGTTGTTAATTAATTGTCGTTTTGCTGTTCATCATTTTGCATTTTCCGAGGGCCTAGCCAAAATCAATTGATTGATAATATGACTCATTGCCAGTTGTAGATTCATGTGGATGGTGTAATTCATATTTAAATATGCTTATGTGATGTTCTGAGGATGATAAATAACCAAAAGGTGTTAAGGCCAAAGAAATATCAGGGGATTAATGTTTGCGGATGATTGATGACATTATGTGTTAGCTGAAAGCGAGAGATTTTCTCACACGTTTAAATTTTTTGATTTTATTTTGCAGCTTATAATTTCAATACGACTCTCATGAACTATTTTAATCTTTCTCTAAGATAATTCTTAATGGAAAACTGGGTTAGATCGAGTTAAATCCAATCCAGTTTTCAACTAATTAAAACGGGTTAAGTAATGAATGGAAGTCTTCCTCATTTGTTGTTGAGTAAAAATTTTACTACCGGCAGTAAAAACTGCAACCAATAAATTCCAACTTTATTTTCGCGTACTTAATTAACCGAACAGGTTCGAAAATGGATAGGTTCGAAATAGAATAGGTGATTTAAATCTAAAAAACTGGTTAGTTTTTATCACGTGTTGAGAATTTAAATTATATACAAAATGGTTAAAAATTCTTTGATTAAAATAATCGTTCTTAAAGATATTTCTGCAAGAGAATCGCTATTCAAAAAGCATTTATCAACTACCTATGTTTGCCGACAGATCAGATAACTTTCATTTACATTCACCGCTACTAAATCATAGATGAGAGATTACCAAATGAGCAATTAGCATTACGAGTATGTTCAGTTGGCTACACGGAACTAATGATGTCGCTGCCTGACCACAACATTGTCTCAAATCAACTTATACAACCCGACTTTTACTGCCCGCGGCAAAACGGGGAAAACCATTACCAACTTTAACGGGGGGAAAAGGGGGAAAATGTTTAAACCTAATGAAATTGAAATGTTGGTGCATGCTGGCCCGTAAATTACATTTAATTAACCATACCAAACGATAAGCTAGCATATCCGATATCTAACGACTCCATCTATCTCCCCACTTGCAGAACATACTCGATAGATTCAATCCGGGTGCCAGGCAACTGATCGCGGCGGGCAAAAGTTACCTCAAGGCGTTGCACGGTGAGTTTGGTGTTGTATATATCCATAGCAACACCATAATCGACTGCTGCAAGTGAGTACTGTTAACTAATTTGCAATGCATTCCGTGCCATTTCATGCAACAGGTGCCGCAACCGCCTCGCGTCTATTCAATGAAGCATTGGCCAAGATTGCGATGAACGCCCAGCAAAGCGGAACGGGCGATATTGGTAAGACGAAACCCCTCTCGAGACCTCAAAGCCACCACCGAAAGAAGAAGGTCCCAAAAACCACATTTGATCTTAAGTAACCATTTCTTTCGTTTAGGTTCGGCTTTGATGAGCGTTGTAAATGTCAACAAGGAGATACAGGAACAGCAGATGAATATTGTGAGTAATCTAGGGGGTTTACTAAACTATTGGGGGTTTATTATAGAGAACCTTAAATTTATAATGCCAGAAATACTAGAAATATCTATGGCTATTTTGTAACAAGTTTAATCTATAATTAACAATTAATTTTTAAATAATGAAGATATTTACGAAGATATATTAAATCTTTAAATTAAGTATTTAAACAAAAAACCCTTTAATATTCCAGCTGAAAGCCTTCTACGTGGATCTATTGGTGCCATTGGAGACAAATCTGGAGAAGGACACGAAGGTGGTGCAGCATGAGCAGAAGAAGTTCCTGCAGCAGCACAAGGTGCGGATGGAGAGCTACCAGAAGGCCGTCTCCACGATGAAGAAGCAGCGCAAGAAAAAGGCCACTCCCGAGAATACCGAAAAGGAGCTAAGGGTGAGTCGATAAGCAAAAAAAATAATGCAAACGATCTGAAACTGATCCAAAAAACGTAACTTTCCCACAGAGCCTCCAATTGCTCGAGGATCAGAAGAAGAAGCTGGATGTGTTCTGCGATCAGAGCTACAAGAATGTGAGTTCATTGGCTGCTGGCCAAATCTTTAACCACCCGTTACACAGAGAAAAATATTAGCCTTTGAATTTTAATGATAAAGCTTTAATATCAATTTTCTAATATTTAAATTCCTAATTAATACGATGTTTTAAATGATTTAGATTCATTAGAAAACTGTAAATTTTGAAGCGACAACTATTTAATTGATATCTAGTATGAATTTTTTTTTGCGCATTTAAATTTTAAATTTATAATAATATTTTTAAATAATCTGTGAAATTAACTAAATTGTTTGACTATGTATGACTTCTCCACTCTTTCCCACTTCCGTTCTTCAAAAAAAAGGCCATGACACAGGAGCGCCGACGATATGGATTCGTCTTGGAGCGCCAGTGCTCGATCGCCAAGCACTGGATGGCCTACCACACCACCGGCAAGACGGTAATTGATAATAATTTCGAAAATTGGCAAGAGATTGCCGCTTCTCGTGAGATCATTCCCCCGGCCGCGTACGAAAGTGGATACAGCAGCAGCAACGGCCACAACAACAACAACAACAGCGGCAACATGCGACGCCTGGTGAGTCATCTCCTCCCCATCTCCACCCATCTCCGCCCCATTATAATCCCAAGCGATCCCATCTGATTGGGCGCTAACAACTCTGTTAACCTCGCGGCTCTTCTATTTCCCATACAAACAAGAAACAGACAAACCATTGTGGTATCTATAAGAAATTTGGCATAACAACCCCCGGCGAATATTATAAAAATTATATTTTTAATAGAACTTGAACTTCTTTTAATTTTAATTTCTAACAATATGGCTTAATTCATAAAGTTATCCATCTTAAGAAAATGCCTAAAGAAAATGTAATTTGTCATTATTCCATTTAATTTAGTTTTTTGCATAATTATATATATATAAAATCTTTTTAAGTTAATCGGTTTTGTTTAAACCATTATTAAATTAAATTAATAGGAATTTTTTTGTTCAAACCATTATTAAATTAAATTAAAAGAATTTTTTATATTCTGTTATTTTTTTTATAGGAGCGGATTAAGGACGGCGAGGATGATCACCTTCAGAATCACGGAGCCCAGCTGAAGAAGTCGCGCAGCATCGACGCGCCCTATGGTGATATGCGTACCCTTCACGAGCGGGAGAACGTTTCCGGAATGGGAGTTACTGGGGCATCGCACTATGCCCAAAACTCGCTGCCACGTGCCAAATCCGACTTCAATCTGGCTTTAGTTGGCACTGGCCATAGCTCAGGTGGGAAAATTCTTGGAAAATAAAACAATTCTTAATAATTAAATTTTTAATTTAATTTTCAATTTGTCAGGCAACAAACACAAGATCATCGAGGAGCAGCTGACCACCTTGGGCGACGATCAGCGCGGCGATCAGCGTCCTCTGGTAAAGGCCCTCTACGCCTACATGCCCTCCGGGGAGAACCAGTTGTCCTTCGAGGAGGGCGACCGCATCGCCTTGGTGGGCGGCAAGGCCAAGGGCTGGCAGTTCGGCGAGAATCTGCGGACGCAGCACTTTGGCTGGTTTCCGGTGGCCTACACCAATGCGGATGTCGCGGAGGCAACCACTTCCGGTGGCCGGCGATACGAGAACATGCTGATGAGCTACGAGCGGAATGGAGGCGGTTCGGGATCCGGATCCGGTGGAGGCGGTCTGCGAAGCTACCAGCAGCAGCAGGATTACGAGGCGCAGCTGGAGCTGATGGAGAACCATGAGGCCACGTACCGGCGGCGAAGGAACCACAGTGCCGAGGAGTCCTCGCCCACGAGGATGTTCGGCGACACGATCAAGCAGCAGAAGAAGTATCGGCCCGGATCCGGAGCCAATCCACGTCCTGGTCCGCCGCCCACACTGCCGGCTCCGGTGCCCAATGGCCAGCAGAGTCAGGCCTCCAGGATGCTGAACAGCTCGCAGAGCTTCTGCGCCACCAACGGAGGAGTCACCGGGGCGGTGGAGCGACGCAAGCAAAAGCTGCTAAATGGAGTACAGGTGGGGTTAATTTCTGGGAAGTGCTGAAGGATCTCATGACTAATGAATGATCCTTTCCAGAGCTCCAAGAGTCATGCCTCGGGCAAGTCCGGAGTGGCTGCCAAGACCTCGCTGCACAGCAGCAATGACAGTGGATTCGCCAACGAGCCACCACCACAGCCGGAAGTGGATTATTCTGATGAGGAGCCAGCCACACAACGAGTGCCCATTCGGTAGGTGGATAATGTATACAGGCTAATACTCTAGAAGGAGGGACTTTTATCATACCTTATCCTAGGAATCAATCATGGTTTCCATGTAATTTAATTATGTAATAGTATCCGCCTTCTAGAGTTATATCAAATACTAAATGTACATAGGAATAATATACAAAAACAGCTTGGAGAGCAAGAAATCCAACTATCTCTTTATAAATATCATATACGCACAAAAAAAGCATGTTCCCGTAAAATCGAAATGGTTATATAAATTTCAGGTGATGCAAAACCCATATAGTTTTTACATGAAATACTGTTTTCGACCAGGTCAAATTTACCTGACCACATATCAAATCGAAATTGATCTAAAATAAATTAAAATCGATATACGTTTATTTTATTTTTTTTTATTAAATTTTTATAAAATCTCCCGATTTTTGCTCTCCAAGCCAAGCTTTAGAATCCCCGCTTTTTCTCCGTCCTTTGTCACTAATCCTTAATCATTTAAATCACCTATTCCATTTAACCTAAGTCCCAAGACCATGCTATTTCATTATGTTTAGTGCCTGATTTAATTAAATTTATTTATTTTCATTTGCTTTTCTTCCCTTCTTGTTTGATTTCATGTATCGCCATTATGCCCCGTTTGTCATCCCTTGTGTTAACCACCCCAAAAATGCACCCAAAATACACCAAAAAAAAAACACTACCCACCGAAACACACTGCAAAAAATATCAAAACCAACGCGAATCCAAAAAATCAAAAAAATAAGACGCCGGGCGGACACCAATTCGCACACCAACACGGTGCCGCGGGATGTGGCCTCGTGGACGTTGAACCGGAACTTCCGGAACAGCGTCGACAGCCAGATCGACGACAAGAGCCTCCATCGGCTGAGTCGCCAGAGCGGCGGAGGAGTGGGTAAGATGCGGTACGACCTGATAGCCTCCGACGATGAGATCCTGCAGGCCTCCAGTGCCGGTCTAAAGCGAACCAAATCCTTCTGGAAATTCGGCGGCGGTCGCAGCGGCGAGGATATACTGGCCGGCATGTCCTTGTGGCAACATCGCGATCTGGTGGCTGCTCCGAATCTCGAGGAGATGCGCGATCGCGAGGAGGTGGAGCGGCGTTCGGAGGATGATCGCAATGGAACGTTGACCAAGTCGCACAACTCGAGTTCCTCGCAGGAGAAGCGCGAACGGAAGGATAGCCTGACCAGCACGGAGCTATACGGAGATGAGGATGAGAATATCTACGGGGTGAGTCCACAGCAGCCACCTCAACAGCAGCAGCAGCAGCAGCAACACCAGCAGCATCAAAGGAGCAGCTATACTCCCAAGTCCCGCATGAAGATCATGAAGACCATTGAGATTGACATTGAGGAGCCCACGGAGGCGGAGCGAATGAGCACCATGCGACGTGGTCAGTCGCAGGATCACAGGAAGCTGGACAAGCAGGTGTCCGGCACAGGATCCCAGCACAAATCGCAGACCTTGAGCCGCTCGAAGACCAGCCAGCAGCAGCAGCAGCAGTTTCCACAGTCCACCGATGAGGGCGAAAGCGATGATCATGGAACGCTGAAGCTCAGCGATGTGAACAACTTCTTCGAGGACTCCGGCAAGAGCAACAGTCATGGCCATGGACTGGTCATGAAGACGGTGAAGCGACAGGACATACTCAAGCAGTACTACACCAGCGAGGACGAGGAGGAGTCCGATGCGGAGCTCAAGTCGACCAGTTCCGATCCCTACGACTGCATCGTGATTAATGACCACTTGGTGCGCAAGGACGACAAGTTGCGCCGGCACCATCAGCAGCAGCAGCATCAGCAGATGGAGTTCCACACCTTCCGGTCCTCCACATCGACGACGGCTACCAATACGCTGAAGAAGGGCTCCTCCTCGAAGGATCAGGACAGCACCCTGACCCGCAATTCGACGGCCAGTTCGGGGGCTCCGACGGCCACCATCCTGCCGCGAACACGCCTCCTCAAGTCCTCCAACTCCAACTCAAACTCCGCCATTGCCAGCAGTGCCACCTTGGAGCGGAATTCCAAGAGTCTGGCCGGGAACAAGAGCTACGGGCCGTGGTACGACTTCTGGGATCAGGAACAGCATGGTCAGAAGTCGGCGAGTGCCAAACTGAAGTAGGGGAGTACGGAAAAATCCAAGAATTTCGCCGTCTTCTTACCGGATAAGAAAATGAGCAGAGAGAGAGAGAGTGGAAGGAGATTGCAGCTGGAGAATGGAGGTGTTTGAAGTAATCCCCATGTCATCCCAATCCTGTTCGTCCTCCCTTCGAATTAAGCTATATTTACCATGTATAATCTTATAGTTTTTAGTCTAAGGCAAGTTCTGTTTTGTTTGTTCTATGTACATATCTTATTTTAATTGTAAAACCTATTTAAATTTTGTGTTCGCCAACGATGAGGATTCATTTTCGTACATGCCAGAGGAAACTTCATAGAACCAGGACCTCTCCATCGAACATTCTTCCCTTGAGTTTTGGTGCCTGCATGCATTAAATCTATTTTATGTATGATTAAGCTCGCTTCTCAGAATAATGCAAATGTAAATTGGTTTCTTAGCAGGCGCGGTATTTACCGCAACTATTCCATAGGCTATTGACCTGTAGCGAGTCCGTGTATCCCAGCTAGCCCCACCATCCCTCGTATTAGGTTGTATTTCCAGCCGTAAGTAGTGGTCCCACATGGAGAAGGGACCTCAACTGGACACGTCCTTGATCTTTTGCAGAGCCTCCCAGTTCGCCACGGTCAAGTTGCGGCACACCAAGACGAACGACCGATCGGCACCGATGATCTATCGCAGTGTGAACAAGTAGCAACGACAGCGGAAGGTGGAGTTTTCCCTGTGACCAAAAAAGCTCCAGCCACATCCACACCATCCCTCTTATTCACACCAAACACAAAGCAACGCAATCTATACAAATCACACGTTTTATAAGGCGCATATACAGTTAAAGGCATTATCAGTTAGATCCTCCAGTTGCCTGGATATTTGGTAGTCATTAAGTCGTACTGTTTGTTAAACATTCTGTTTGTATGTACTTCTATGTTAAAGTTCGAAATGTATATTCAAATACCTAATGATTAATAAACCTTATAAAGTTCACAAATGTAACGGAAACTTTAAATGTAAAGGAAAGTTCATGGGATATAACATGATATATATTTGTAGTAAATAATATGGCAGTGAAAAATAGTTATTGTAAGGTAACAAAGGATACCTAAAGAAAAGTTCATTTGTCCAATCTAACCCATATCAACGTACTCCATACACCAGATAGAAAAATAATTAATCTACAATTTAGAATTGAATTTTAAAAACAACAAGATACATACAGGAATAGATATAAATATGTTACGATTTTATAAACCAAAAAAATGGACTGCAAATTAAACAGTTTCACTAGTTTTATTTTTGTTTGGAGAAATTCGAATATCTCTGCCTTCTCACTAATTCATCATGTATGCATCTATGCCTTATCTCTTCTTCCGTTAATCTCTTAAGTGACTTCAAGACCTTCTCCGGTTCATGAGATCCAGCTGGTATTGTGAACAAACCAAACATTCTCACGCAGTCCTTAACGGCAGTGTCTTGAAACATAGTGATGTCCTTAAGTAAGGGTAGCTTCGCCAGATCCTGGATAATAGCCAGGATTTTAGGTAATGATACAGGACATGTGAAATTCAAAGTAGCGTTTTCCAGGTTGATCAGGCATCCGAGTGTTTTGCAAAGCACATCTAAATCTCCGACCCAATCCTCGTCAAATTTAAAGTACAGACTTTTCGGTATATCACCAATATCTTGCATGAGGAGCAACTCCTCCGAATTTCCGGTAGGTTCCACTCTCTTATAGAGGGTCCTGGCATTAATCATCATCACATTTCGAAACCGAGTGCAAACGTTGGCAAAGTGCCAGTGATCCTTGGTGGGCAAGTAGGTCAATATGACGGCCAAACAATCGTCGTTCAGATCCAACAGCGATGGAATCATTTCTTAATTTTGTATAAACACTACTTTCTAAAGGTGATGATAAGGTAATGACTAACAGGTGGGCAGACCGTTTTGTTGTAAGATCTTAATACATAAATCTGTTTACATTTTTTTTTCTGGTGATTTTAATTAATATTGCGGGTGCTACAGAGATACTGTACAGCCAAATTCCAAACTAAATTTTATTTGAATTCGATCGCAAGAAATTTTTGTAGCCAATCCAAAATATTACTGTGGGAAGCCCCCAATGAACATTTTAGTATTTTTGTGTAGTATTTTTTAGTGCATTCCCACGTGTTGCCGGCTGGTTCGGTCCAAAAATAAACAAACCCGGTGGACAAAAAAATTGGAGCTTTATTTTTTTAGGCAGCGGAGGAAGAGGATTACTTGCCATAAATGGATTCTGGAAACTGGCCCAATATATAACTTACAATTCCAAAGGAAATTTAATGGGATATAAAATTATGCCCTTTAATTATAGTAAATAAAGTACAAGCTACTAATCACAGTTATGCAGTTACTAAGGGTATGTGCAGTTAAAGTCGGTCCCGAAAAACGCACAAGTAGGGTAAGAGATCCTCGCTCTGTAAGTGAAAAATATTTAAAAATTTTTAATACAAATAAGATCTTTTGACATACATACCCTAATTTGGTTTTCCGAAGGAGTTCCAAGTCTGAGGGGTTTCTGATTACCGGGATCTCGAACAATTCGGAGCACCTCAAGAGCTCTTAAAATGAAATCACTGGAAAGCTGCGATGAATTCACCCTTGCCAGCAGGACGTTCAGTCTTGTGCATCCCCTTATTATGGCTAATAACTGATTTGTTACGCCCGAGTGCGACACACGAATGGATAAATATTTCAACTGCTTAAGAGCAGGCAAATGTTCCAGACATCTGGGCTCCTCGAAGCAACAGTGAAGTTCCCTAAGGTTAACCATTCGTGAGATCTCTTTGGCCTCGTCGTAGCAAAGTTCTAAAGTTGTAATTGATAATTCGGTTAGCTGCCTAGACAACCCAGAAGCCAAGCCAGCGATAAACGGCAGGTGTGGTCCGCTGTTCTGGTTATTTTTCTCATAGATCCCAATCTTCTGAAGCTTGGAAACCCGAGCCAGCGGCTGATAGTCCTTGGAAGGCTGCGACATGTAGAAGATCATCTCTTCGACAGACGACAAATGAGGCACTATGTAACCCAGAGTTTCTTTAAAAGAATTATTCATTTTCTTCAATATTAAGATATTGGATAAAACACTGGGTTCAGTCCGCAAATTATCGTTGATAAGAAAAATTTGACAATCTTTCAGCAAACTATTAGAATCGTCGTACACGCGTAGGCCATCGAGGACATCAGCTATAAATAATAAATATATAAAGAAATTATTTAAAATAAAAGATGCCAAGCCTGTTTTTATTTTATTCTTGTTTTTCAGAAACGAAATCAAAAGAAATAGTTTTCATTTCGCCCCACGTACAAACACTTGGGTGGACCAAATTGTGTCCGAATTTTAGCGTTTGGCGAGCGGCAGCGGTTAAAGCCAAGTATTCCGTATTTAGAATAAGAATCACCAGGCTGGAGGGGCCTTTGGAGCGTTTTAGTATTATAATTCTCCAGTCGTGCGTTGGCAAACTGGGGTTGGAATTCTGAAGTATGCACAGGAGTCTCTTTGGATCCCAAATCGAGGATGGGACATACATCCTTGCACGAGGCCTTTTGTAGATGCTATGGAACTCACTGTTTTGAAATACCCCGATGCCCTTAAGGTTGGGCAGCTCTTCCAGAGTCCGAATAATGGCCTCGAAGGCGTGTAATGGAACAGGACAGCTAAAATTCAGAGTAGCGTGCTCCAGTTTGACCAGACGTCTCATCGTTTCGCGTAGAATCCTTTGCACATTTTGGACACACTCCGGGTAATATTTGAAATACATATGTTTCACTAGATCACCAACAACTCGCATCAGGACCAACTCGTCCGGCGATCCAGTAACCTCCACTGTCTTATAGAGGCTCTTGCCGTAATCCATTAAGACATTTCGAAAGCGGCTGCAAACATGGGCAAAGTGCAAGTGATCCTTCAGGGGCAAATATCCCAATATGGAAGCCAGGCAGTCATCGTTCAGATCCAGCAGCGATGAACTCATATCTCTATTAACTTTAACAATTTTTTTTTTTTAACAATAAACAAATGATAAGCCGATGTCAGACCGTATTCTTGTAGGAGCTAAATACTTTATTTTAAAATATTAAAAACCCCGGTTGACCATTTTTTTAAAGAAAAATCTTTGCCACCCAATTTAATTAATAAAATAAATCAAAAGTTTTGTATGTATGTCAATCGACTGATTTTATCAGACTTTTCAGACTTTCCAATTGCACACAAATTATATAAATTATTTGAAAATAAATTTGAAAGCCGACACTATGTATGCAAATTTTAAATACTTTCTTTTAGAATATTATTATTATTTGTTGTTAAACATCCTTATTGCATTTTCTAAAGCAAACTCAGTCAGTTTCAAGAATCTCCAAAATAGGAGGATAATAACGACCGGTTCGCCATTCACCTTTTAATTTAAGTAACTCTATGACCTCCTCCAGCTTATGAGGTCCAGCTGGTATTATAAAGTCCGGTCTCCTCAAGTGTTTAACGATAGTGTCCTGAAACATTGTGATTTCCTTAAGTAGGGGTAGCTTCGCCAGATCCTGGATAATATCCCGGAGTGTATGCAATAATACAGGTGATGTAAAGTTCAATGTAGCGTTTTCCAGGTTGATCAGGCTTCCGAGTGTTTCGGAAAGCACATATAAGTCTTCGACCAAATACTCGTTAGATATAAAGTACAAATTTTTCACTAGATCACCATGTTTTTGCATGAGGAGCAACTCCTCTAAATTTCCGGTGAGTTCCACTCTCTTATAGAGGCTCCTGGCATTAATCATCATCACATTTCGAAACCGAGTGCAAACGTTGGAAAAGTGCCAGTGATCCTTGGTGGGCAAATATGCCAGTATAACGGCCAAACAGTCATCATTCAGATCCAACAGCGATGACATCATTTCTAAATATTGTATAAACACTGTTTTTCAAAGGCGATGACTAACCGCTGGTCAGACCGTCTTCTCGTATGATCTTAATGCATATTTCTGTATACATTCTTTTCTAGTGATTTGAATTAATATTGTAACTTAAATTTAGATTTCTGTAAAAAGGCCAAAATTATACTGAGGGAATACCCTCCATGAAAAAATTGGTATTTTCGTGTAGTATTTTTATGCCGTTTTTTGAGGGCCAGGCGTTAGTGCATTCCCACGTGTTGCCGGCTGGTTCGGTCCAAAAATAAACAAACCCGGTGGACAAAAAAATTGGAGCTCTCATTTTGAAGGCAGGAAGTGGAATCCCTGCCATGAATGGGTCCTGGAAACTGGTCCTGCCCGTGGGCTTTGTGCTCTACTCGCTGCCACTGTTTCTGCGGGTTAACGGCACCTCGGACTACGTAATCGACGAGGAGTTCCACATCCCGCAGGGATTGGCCTTTTGCCGCAAGGAATTCGATGTGGTAAGCGGGAGAATGGAGCACTATACGACCCCAGATGACCATTTCCGAAACATCTTTCAGTGGGATCCCAAGATAACGACCTTTCCGGGCCTCTACTTGATCGCCCTCATCCTGAATCCCTTGAACCTGTGCACGGTGACGGGACTGAGGATGCTCAGCCTGGCCGGAGCCGGGATCAACATCCTGCTGCTCTACAAGATCCGGCGCCGCATCCTGGCCGGCTCGGGCGGGAATTCGTATGCTGCCCATGAGGCGATAACCATGTCCGTGCTCCCGCCCCTCTACTTTTTCAGCCACCTGTACTACACGGACACCCTGTCGCTGACCATGGTGCTGCTGTTCTACAACTATTGGCAGCAGGAGGCCCATCTGCCGGCGGCGGTCTTCGGTGCGGCCAGTGTCCTCATGCGTCAGACGAACATCGTGTGGGTTTGCATGGCCACCGGGATGACAGTGCTGGACACGTTGGTCCACCAATGCGTCCGCACTCGAGCCGTTCCTAAGGACAAAGTGCGAGTAATGGGCAAAGAGGTGGGTCACTGAAAAACCTGATGAGTAAATTTAATATTCCAAAATATTTGCATTTTTTTCATTACTATTTTTAATTTTCCAGTTGTGGATTCAAATCTTCAGCAGCCCCCAATTGCTGTGCACTTGCTTCCTGAGCATTTTGGCCAAGTGCTGTTTCTACGCTTCGATCATTCTGCCCTTCGTGGGATTCCTGTTCATCAACGGCTCCATTGTGGTGGGCGACAAGAGTGCCCACGAGGCCAGTCTGCATGTGCCGCAGCTCTTCTACTTTGTCCTCTTTGCGGCTGGCTTTGGAATATCCAACACCATACGCCAGTTTCGTTCGGCAGCGGATCTAATCCGCAAAAACCGGGCACTATCCCTCTTGGCGATGCTTTTAATACTGCTGGTGATCCACCTGAACACCGAGGTGCATCCCTATCTGCTGGCCGACAACAGGCACTATACCTTCTACGTTTGGAGCCGACTTTACGGACGGTTTTGGTGGTTCCGCTACGCCATGGCGCCCGTGTACCTGCTCTCCATTTGCGTACTCTTCTGCGGACTGCGCCACATGCCGGACAGCTTCAAGCTGATGTTCCCGGTCAGCCTCTTCCTGGTGCTGTGCTTCCAGCGACTCTTGGAGCTGCGCTACTTCCTGGTGCCCTACATCCTCTTCCGGCTGAACACGCGGCACACCCGCAAGGGCTACGCCGAGTGGCTAGAGCTGGGCGCTCATCTGCTCCTCAATGTGGCAACCTTTTATGTGTACTTCACCAAGGAGTTCTACTGGCAAAATTACCGCGCTCCTCAAAGGATCATTTGGTAGTTCCTAAACACTGCATTCCCCATGAACTAGAAATGTTTTCTGGAATATATACGTCTTCAGCATTTAAAAATAAAAACGATTCGGCATTTTCAATATTGCTTTTTATTCGATGCATTGCTACTTGAATGAGAAATTGCTCTACGTTTTAGTTAAAAAATCTGGGCAGAATCCTATGGATAAATATTGGAGGGTTGTGAATGTAAATTAAATCTCAAATCGTACGAGTTTAATGCAATCTATGGACAATTCGATTTCAAGAGAAACACAAAGGCAAAGATAACGTTATACTCGCACGATTTCCTTGTTAAATAATACATGATGCCCTTAAAATGTAAATATGTGTGTATAAAAGGTTATATCATAAATATGTTAAAACTTACGAGCTAGCAAAATGGACTTCAATAGATAATACTGCCGAGGCATACATAAAAAGTTCAGTTGATAAAATCGTACACTTTGAGCATGCTGAGAGAAACTAGACAATCTATGCGTTAATGATAAGTAATAATGCTGATCGCGTTGTCGAATGCACAGAATGCAAAACTAGGCAAGAAATGCTACTGACTATGGTAATAAAATTAGCACACCCTTGGAGCGTTGCGGTTGCTGGCCAAATCGTGATCTAAGTTTGGCACAAAACCGATCGGAAATCAATATTTCAAGCGTCGCCGCCGCCTAATCAAAGGCCACCTTGCGGGTGAACGAGGTAAGAGACGAGATCTCGCTGGGATTGGAGTCCGATGGCAGGTGGCTGAACTCGATCTCCTCGCTGGCAGCCGAGGCCACGATATTCTCATTGGACTGTGTGGTCTCGTCGCTGTGGTGCATTGTGGGCCATTGCTTGTGGCTGGGGGCGTACAGGATGAGCAGGGCGAAGATGTAGATGTTCCACATGCCATAAACGCCGGTCAAAAAGGCGGAGGTCAGCTGAATCTCCACGTTGTCGTTCCAATCCCATTGACCCTCGGCCATTTGGCCCATGACGAAACCGGCCACGGTCAGCGCAGCACATACAAGGGTGGCCAGCATCAGGAATTTGAAGCGGTAGATGAGGCCTGAAATTGGGATTAGTTATTTATTTTAAAGCTCATAATTCAGTCCACATTCACAGGCCCTTGAAGGAACACGCACAATTCGCGCCGGGTAGGGCAAGGGACCTCGTGGTGTGGATTCACTTTTAGGTTAAGTGAATTTGAAACACATACAAACGAATTTTGCCTTGGCGTTTTCCTGGAACTCAGGGCGGCCAAATAACTCCGCATCACTTACGGGTGACGCGGTAACTTAAACCCCAAAAAAAAAAAATGCTCATAATTAAAAGCCATATTGGCAATAGAGCCCTGCGTGAATCATTCAACTTTTGTTTTAACATATTATGCCATGAAATTTCTGATTAGTTTAATTCAATTCTATGTGAAATTGAATGTTTTTCTAATTCATTTCGAATTGAATGAATAATTTTTAAGAATTTTTTGAATGTTCCAGACTTCTTTGTGCTTTCTCTTGAGAACAAAATGTGGAAAATTTTTAAAATATTAATGTTAACTGCTTAGAAAATAAAATGCATAGAAATAAAATTTCAATTCAAATTATTTCGGAATTCATTCAATTCTTTTAAACTCAAAAATTTAAACAAAAAATTCTAAATAATTCATTGAGTCCATTCAAGCAGGTCTCTAATTGGCAATGAACAACTTACCCTCGTAGTGAAGTCGGCGCGCCTGGGACATGGAAGGCAGCGAAGTGCGCTTGTCGCCAATGTTCCTGAACACCTTCCAGATCATGTAGCATAGGAAGAGGAAGTAAATGGCCGCCGAAACTCCCGCGAGGACAATGAAGGTCATGGCTATTTTAGCGCCCAGCGGCGTGGTCCAGATGGAGTAGAAGGGATTGCGCAGCTGCACGCCCCTTTCGCAGATGTCGAAGACGAACAGCGAGATGCAACCGACGACGACGGCCGAGAGATGTTTCCAGTAGCGCGACCGGATGGTTGACTTGTTCGGGGCATCCTGGATGAGCATGTGCTCGCCGGCAAAGACCAGCCAGAAGGAGAGCAGCATGGCGTAGAAGATTCCCTGGCGGATGTCACTCAGCAGCAGCATGTAGGGCATCTCGAAGACCAGCGACAAGTACTCCAGCGGCAGGTTGAGGAAGGTCAGAGCTGCGCCCAGATAGATGAGCATGTACTCCAGCAGGGCCGGCGAACGCTGCAGCAGATGCACCCGCCTCCAGAACCAGATCATGATGCCCACCACAAAGGGAAAGAGCACCGTCTTGAGCAGCAGCCAGATGCGGGTGAATCCTCCGTTCTGATGAATGGCGGTCAGCGTGAGATCGTGCATATGGCCGAACTGCAGATTCATCTGGCGCGGCGTGTCCAGGGGAAAGCGCAGATTGAGCAGATAGAAGCTGTGGTGCAGGGCGCCCAGCTCGAACAGGGGTATCATGTCGCACGAGTAGAGCGTCTCTGTGGGCCCCACCGTCTGGGAGACGCAGTCCAGGTAGCGGTGCTCCACCCCGTGGGCATACAACTTCCAGCCGTTGTCCGGATCCCCCTTGTTCCGATACGCCAGCCGCATGTCGATGGTCAGCTGCAGTTCCCGGGGCGGCTCCCGCAGCTCCGAGGAGGAATCGTAGCCGAACTCCACCTGCAGCACCCCGATGAGATTCTGCTGCCAGCGGGAGTAGTCCAGGTCGCGCAGGTCCCGCGGCAGCGGCATCTGGAAGACGTGGACCAGCTCGTTGGCCATCTTCATGGAATCCCGCTCCACCTCCTCGCGGGTCACCGGGATGCAGGCTCCTGCGCCGCGCGAGTACAGCAGGAATCCGGTGTCGTTCTGGCGGGCGTGGTCCTCGCGGCACAGCGATCCCAGGACGGTGACATGGCCGGCGGGCAGGGGGGCGTACAGGCCGCCCAGCAGGAAGCACAGCACCTGGCAGAGCAGCAGGCTGGCCACCAATATGGACAGCTTCCTCCCGCTCAGGTTCTCCAGTATGGTGCCCGACATCTTGGCTATTCGGGGGCGTGCGGCTCACTGGTTCACTGCCCTGCGCTTGGCTTGGGTGTACAGATGGGTGCAAGTGCGCGTAGTGTAAACAATCTGCTGCGCTGCACTTGAAAATTGCACTTCAAACGCGCCGCCGTCGCCGCAAACAGAAAAAAGTCGGAACCAAGAAGCAACAAAACAGCATGACCTTTTGCGGTCTATTCAAATATACCGGTCAAGCGAGAAAATATACTAGGTGGTTTTGGTATTTTTAATGCACCGCAATCGGTTAAAAATTAATCTATCATTTTTTAGCATCTATCGATAGTTTCTATGGCGCCATTCTTTATTTGGTTATGTGGAAATTGTAGATCTTTCGAATATTACTTTTTTGGAATTCGAGATGATTTTATAATATATAATGAGTGAAATTATCATAATTTAACTTGTCGTATTCATGACAAGCTGTTGATTTAAATTGTACAATACATCAACCGTAATTTTTCAGTTCATTTTACCGCTGAAATCTTTCTGTATAATAAATTGTTTTAAAATGTAATTTAAATTTTTAATAACTAAATGCGTTGACATTGTCACGATGTCGATAGTATTATCGATGGTTTGACAGCTCTACTAGCGGGAATACACGAAATTGCGTTCACGATCTGGAATTTACACGAAAAAGCTTCGCATAAACCCAGGAGGCGGCCATTGAAACGGAAGTAAAGTTGACAGAAAACGAATCCTCTTGTATTTCTCCGCTTTTCTCTCCATTGCACACGATTTCCCCACCGATTTGCTCTCCATTTTTACCACGATGACCGACCTGGACCGCCAGATCGAGCAATTGTATCGCTGCGAGATCCTCGAGGACTTCGAGGTGAAGCGCCTGTGCGCCAAGGCCCGCGAGATCCTGGCGGAGGAGGCCAATGTGCAGCGCCTGGACACCCCGGTGACCGTGTGCGGCGACATCCACGGCCAGTTCTACGACCTGAGGGAGCTGCTCAAGGTGGCCGGCCAGGTGCCCGAGAAGAACTTCCTCTTCATGGGCGACTTCGTGGACCGGGGCCACTTCAGCCTGGAGACCTTCCTGCTGCTCCTGGCCCTCAAGGTGCGCTATCCCGACCGCATCGCCCTGATCCGCGGCAACCACGAGTCCCGCCAGATCACCCAGGTGTACGGATTCTACGACGAGTGCATGACCAAGTTCGGATCATCCGAAATCTGGCGCTGCTGCACGGAGATCTTCGATTATCTTAGCCTGGCGGCCGTAATCGATGGCAAGGTGTTCTGCGTACACGGCGGCCTGTCGCCGTCCATTCAATATCTGGACCAGATTCGCCTCCTCGATCGCAAGCAGGAGGTGCCGCACGAGGGGCCCATGTGCGATCTACTCTGGAGCGATCCGGAGAACCAGATCGGCTGGGGAGTGTCGCCGCGTGGCGCTGGCTACCTCTTCGGCTCGGATGTGGCTGCCATGTTCAACCGCGCCAACGATCTGGACCTCATTTGCCGCGCCCACCAGCTGGTCATGGAGGGCTACAGGTGGCACTTCGACCATTCCGTCCTGACTGTGTGGTCTGCCCCCAACTACTGCTACCGGTAAGTTTTCCATTTTAAGCCTATAAATTCTTTGGTAATTGGAATTCCTCTTGAAGGTGCGGCAATGTGGCTGCTGTGCTGGAACTGGACGAGTCCCTTGGCCGCGACTTCATCATTTTCGACGCAGCTGCGAAGGAGAAGCGCCGCTTTCCCACCAAGAAGCCACAAGCGGAATACTTCCTCTAGGAGGGTCACAGTCGTCTCCAGCTTTTTAAGTAACTAACTAATACTGAAGAGTAAATGGGGAACTTTCTTCTAAGTCATCTAAGGAAATTGCCATCCTGCCTAAGAAACCTGCGCTTTGTATATACAATCTTATAAGGGAAAAAACCCCTGAATAATGCCAATTTCTCAGCAAGAAAAAAGCTGTAGAATTTACTATGTAATATTATGTAAGCAAAGCTGTAAGTACCACCCACATAGGGTTCTTCCTAAAATAAAGAACATGAGCTGTGACACAAAGTGGAGTTCGACCTTCAAAACTGTAATGTTTTTAATAATTTAACCATCATAAGATCCATTTTAGTTATATATATATATTTAAATAATTTTACAGTATAAACTTAATACGTTTTGAAAACTAGGCTGTTTCAAGTATGCCCCGCAAATTATTGTTTTTGTCTTTAATAATTTTACAATCAAAAGATCCATTTTATTTATGTATTTAAATAAGTTTATACTATAACCTTTATACAATTTGAAAACTAAGCTGTTTCAAGTGTGCTTCGCAAATTATTTTCGATATAAACATATGCATAAACTATAGCAGTTTTCAGGCAGTTGCTAAATCAAAAAACAGATTTGAATTTCCTAAAACCGCCAAATGAGCTGGGGCGATGACGATGTTGCCCCATCATCGAGCTATTGTTATCATCACGGCGGCTCCACAATCAGCTGTTCGGGCTCCCCAGCTGATTTTGCGACAGGTGGCCAAAGGCTAAACTTTGGCTGAACTTTGCAGCGGGCGGACGGAAAATGCTACCTCTCCAGGTGAGTTTTATGACCCAAAAAGTACTCCATTTAATCCTCTTATCCTTCATCCTTTAGCGTGTGCGGCAACTGCTGAGTGTGGGAAGCCGTACTCGGAACATTAGACTAATCCGGCAAGAAGCGACGGCCCAGAAGAGCCGTCTTCCCGTGGTGCGACTGGGTCTCCTGGCGGCAGGAGCAGGTGCCTTGGCCTACGACGGGATCGTAAATGACTTCACCTACTGTGGGGCCTCCGTGCGATTTGTGCGGTCCCTGAAAACCGCCGGCTTAATTGCCGCCGACTATCTGCGGCTGGACGAGAACGATCCGGAGTACGAGACCAAGGTTAAGGTGCTCCACAAGAAGAGCGCCGAGCGGCTGTTGGAGACGTGCCTGCTCAACGGTGGCCTTTACATCAAGGTGGGCCAGGGATTCGCCGCCATCAATCACATCCTGCCCGTGGAATACACCTCCACGCTGTCGCAGCTGCAGGACAGCTGTCTGCCCACCACCAAGGCGGATGTGCAGAAGGTGTTCCGCCAGGACTTTGGCCAGTTGCCCGAGGAGATCTACCAGGAGTTCGACTACAAGCCCGTGGCGGCCGCCAGCTTGGCGCAGGTTTTCAAGGCCAAGCTGCCCAGCGGCGAGCAGGTGGCCGTCAAGGTGCAGTACAATGATCTGCAGAAGAGATTCATCAGCGACCTGGGCACCATCATCTTCCTGCAGGACATTGTCGAGTGGTTCTTCAAGGACTACAACTTTGGCTGGATCCTGAATGACCTGCGGAAGAACCTGGTGCTGGAGCTAAACTTTTTGCAGGAGGGCCAGAATGCCGAGCGATGCGCCAAGGACATGCAGAAATTCAGTTTTGTCCACGTTCCCAAAGTCCACTGGTCGTATACCAAAACGGTGAGTTTCCTATAGTTCTACGCTTGCTATTATTAATATTCGTATAATGTTTAGGAGTTTTCATAAATAAAGTTTTTCCCGAAAAAAATCTATACAAAATTACGTTTCCAAGTTTGAAGATTTAAGGATCTATTGCAAAAAATTCCCATTTTTTCTCCTGCTTACATTATTATTATATTTTTATAGCGCGTGCTCACTCTTGAGTGGATGGATGGTTGCAAGATTAACGATCTTAAGACGATAAAAAAAGAAAAACTCAGCCTGAAAGACATCGATGTGAAGCTCTTTGAAACCTTTGCTGAACAGATTTTCTACACCGGCTTCGTGCACGCCGATCCCCATCCAGGAAATAGTAATTTAACTCATAAAATTAACCTTAAAATTTTTATATTAATATTGCACTGTATTATTGCCAGTTTTTGTGCGCAAAAATAGTAAAAACGGCCGGGCGGACATCATCTTGCTGGATCATGGCCTCTACGAAGAACTTCCTCAAAATGTGCGAGGGCCGCTCTGCGAATTCTGGGAGGCCACCGTCCTGCGCGATGAGGTGAAGATGCAGTCGGCCGCCGAGAGGATCGGTATTGCCGACTACATGCGCTTCGCCGAAGTGCTCTTCCAGCAGCCACTTCGAAATCGAAGTGGAAGCATTCGGGGAAAGCTATCGCAGGAGGACATCGACCATATGCAGGAAATTGCCAGGCACAACTTTGAGCACATTATGGGCACCCTGAAGGAGATGCCCCGAAGCATGTTGTTTGTGGTGAGTCCTGTGTACATTAGGGCGGTCCAAAAAATGAAATTATATTCTCACCCCTTTACATGGTATATTAAAGTAAGCAAAAAATGTATGTGAAAACAAAAAAAATTTTCATGATTTAGACCTTGCGAAACGTCTTGCTTAAAAATTACTTATACGACACGTATAACAGTTCGAGTTTGGTCGAAAAAAAATCGTTCTCCCATTTCTTATTTTGTCATATTATGAATTTCGTTGGAATAATTGGTAAAAAAAAGGGAGAGCAAAACATCAACTGAATTTTTGAAATCTTTGCCACCTTGATTAGAAAAACTTTTGAACCACTTCGCAGACCCTAAAACGAGATTTTTTCAACAATTTTCATTTGGTTTACCTTAAATTCCACAATGCGCACCGTATAGGCGGGTGAGAGTAGGACCTTAAAAATTTCCATACAAATGTGGACCGCCCTAGTGTACATTATACCTAGTATTATCTAATTTTTTTTAACTATTGACCAAATAAATTTATTTCATTAAATAGGTCCGCAATCTGAACACGGTGCGTGCAATTAGTCATCAGCATGGAGACGTTGTAAACCGACCCCGGGTTATGGCCCGATATGCCCAGAAGTGCCTTTATATGCAGCACAACAGACGGTCTCCCGTGCAATTTGTCCGCTGGCTAAGCCGACGCATCTACTTCGAGTACTGTCTGTTCTTGTCGGCCTTCAAGCTGCGACTCTTCGACTGGTACTTTAATTTCCTTTACCTGGTGGGCCGTGCTCCTGCCTCAGCGAGAACCGTAATGAGGGACATGATGCAACCCCCGGAACCGGTGATGTTGAGATGAGTGCCTACCTGTTTGCTTTACCCCTAAATCTTAAGTTCAAAATGTATTTTTTAAGGATAAATGTTGTATATTTTAATAGCATACCGACTCATTATCTGCCATATTTAAGTAGTTTACATTTTACTGGAGAAAATCACTAAGAACCATGACAACTTTAGCTCAAAATGCAAGCATAGGTTTTAGAATATGACTGAAAATGAGTCGGGTTTCCGGTTTTATGTGGTGTAATGAACAAATATTTATTGTAAAGTGATAAGCAAAGTATTTATGCCTTTATGACGCTTTACCCTTTTAGGCTCCTAAGGTGTAGGACTTTTAAATACATTTTTTAAGTGAATTGTATCCGAATTTGTTGTTTTACTGACTGTTTCTTACTTTTGACGACCCTTCAAGTCGGAATCCTTCAGCACTTTGGCTTTGGCCTGATCACTTCTGACACCCCGGGACTTTTCCATTTCAAAAGCCAAGAGAATGCGGCATTCACTGGTGTTAAACTGAGGTGTGCATGCCAGGTCTGGGACTTTAATAAAATTGCCGGTGACTCGCTCAAGGTTATAGCCAGGCAGTCAGCCAATCAGTCAGTTATTGGGCCACTTTCACTTCCATTTAGGCCCTCCCAAAAATTCAACAAATCAATCGGGCTAGCCTGAAACACGAGTGCTGTCTAAATTTAAAATGGCTGAGCAATACTGCGGTGGCCCCTGGAATGTTTTTCCGGGTGTATCATTGGAACATTAACACCCAGTAATGCAGTAAGGTGTAGGTACAGCTGTTCCTGCCTCGGAACAGGCACAAATGGGCGTCAACTACATATTTCCGGTTGTGTGGGGCGCCCTGACAGGCTGCAACATGCCAGATTCCACCCGAATGTAACCTCCACCTATGGCCAAGCCCATGTCCCATGTCCCGAGTCTCCGCCGTAACACTTTCACTTCTTGTGCCACATACATCGAGTTTCGTGTGCCGCACACAGAACTAAATTCAATTCAATTTCATTTAAAGTTACTTTCGCTGACTGACAGACAGCGAACGACCCTCTCAGCCTAATCCTAAAACCCAGCACAGTGGGATAAAGTGGGAGTCCTTTTAAAAATTATTGTGATTTTTTTTATCTGGAAAATCTTAAATCCCAATCTTAAAAGGAATTTTAAGGCCTTGAATGAACTATTCCAATTCCTTTACAAACACGAAAAAATATTGAAATAAAATTTACAAAGTTATTCTACATTTTAATATAAGAATTCGCATCTTTCTATTTAAATGAAAATCTTTAGAAATTTAAACTCTTTGCTTACCTGTTTAGCCCACTGTAACCAACTGCCACCTGACTGGCTTCTGTTTAGTTGCGCATACGCCCCGTGCGCCCACGGCTAAATATGAAATTAAAAATCCATGCTGAAGTGTGAAATGCCTACGAGCTGTCTGCCGTCGCCTGCACCTCCAAATCTCCGGCTGAGGCTCGACTTGGAGCCCGGAACCGTGCTCGGCGAGAAATCATTCGCCAACGAGTCGCAGAGTGGAGCAAAGGTCTCTAGCGGAAACGGAAATCAGCAGCTAATTAGAAAACGAAAAGCAAAAAAAGAAATGAACAAAGACTTCATCACGCAGGGCGGCACGCCCATTACCACGGAATTGGCCACGGTAATTAGCAGTCACCCGGCAGCCGGACGCGATTTGATCCTGTGTTTCCTTGTGTTCCCGTCCAGGATCTGCGCAATCTGGTCTTCGGTACCGCCGCCATTCCCATGCGGGCCGAATGGCTGCAGACGTCCTTTGTGTTTGGTGCTCCCAAGGAGGAGCTGGCCTACGGCCTCCGTTCGCCCCGGAATGCCACCCGTGGCCTGTTGTCCGTCGTCCAGGGATTCGTCCTGAAGTATCTCCTCTTTGCCCGGAAGACCAGTCGCGTCGCTTCGCTAACCGAGTGCGTTTCCATTTCCGTTTCCGGTTTGAGCCAACGGCGAGTTTGAGTGCTGTGTGTGTTTCCCTTTTCAGCCCACTCCTGGCCACCGCCGAGATGCAACGAGAGGCCCTGTTCTGCGCCCTGCTGGAGATCCTGCGCACCATCTCGGACAAGGGCAAGGTCACCATGGTGCTGCCATCGGAGGACGAGGTGTTCGTCGAACACAGCGCCTGCTATTTTCACGATTCCGTCACCGAGAAGGTAGGTGCCATTATTGCATAATGCAGAATTATTACACTAAAGCTCCTAAAAAATATATATTATTTTATTAAGAACGAATGAAAAAGAGGAAAACAGTTGTATAAGTGTAAACTAATTTTTTAAGGCATTAGACATGTACTTTATAATGATTTTTTGTTGAGTATAATATGCTGTTAGGAAAAATCTATATATTTGCAGTGGAAAATTTAGTCATAGTTTTTTAAAGGGATTTTTTAATAATTTTTATAATTTTTGGGGAGACAATTTAATGAGGAAATTACAAATACGTTCAATAAATCATAAAGTCCCCTTAACTATTGCTCTTCCAATAATCCTTTTGCAGCTCTATGTTTTCACACTGTCGCCCAACGAGGAGTTGGAATACTTTTTGAAGCGAAATTTCAAATACGTAAGACCCAGAAAGTTAACTCTTTGCTAGCTCAGCCATTTGATCAAACAGTTTGCACTTAACCTGCCTAAAAGTTTACAGAGGAGGAGACCCCGGGCACCCTGCTGTTCCTCTATAGCGCCGTCCTCACTAGATCCATGGGAAAGTAAGATTAGGCCCAAGTGTCTGTATATGCAAATGCCATCATCCTCTGTTTCGGAGACCTTTTATAATCCCTTTCAAATTTACCTTTCGGCGGTGAATACTTTCGAATATTTTTCAGAGTTCGAACGGACTTGGACTCCGCGAAATCCACGCCCCTGACTTCGAGCAATCACGAGGAGGGCTCCCTGATGATTGTCACCCTGCTGCTGACGGGCCGGGCCACGCCCTATATTCACAATGGAGTTGTAAATGTGGGCGACGAGAGTAGTTATGTGGGTACCGGAAACCAGAATATTGTCACCTCTTTAACGGCCTTCGATTCTATTTGGATATGGTTTTGTTCTTCCAGGCGGTTCCACAGTACGGAGTCCTTAAACGTTGCATGATTGGTCTTCTACTTTGGGACATCGAGTCGGCCAGTGTAAGTAAATTAATGGAATACATTTCGGGATTTACAAAAATTTCCTTTAGGTTTCAAAAAATCTTAATAATTTAAATTAGGCAACTTCGAGTTCCAAACATTTACTTAAAACCAGGGACCGTAACTGTTATAAGTTTTCATAACTGTTATTTTTTGAGTTTTCTAATAAAATGTGACAAATAATAGTTATTCGTCGTGATCAAAAATAAAACTCAAACTTGTTTTATAGCGATTTTGTGGGTAATAAAAATTAAAAAAAAATATAGTTATACTATATGCACGGTTGCCTTTTTAAAGAGATTTTTAGTAGGTTATATAGAACACGTTTAGCATGATTTTTGTTCAATTTTTTCTTTTTTTCATACATAAAAATCAAAAAATAAAAATCATTACTGATTGCACCCTGCTTAAAACTTATGAAGAATTATTCTCTTTTTGATGCCGTTATTTTTATTCTTATTTTCCACACTTTGTAACTAATTCCTTCACAGGCTGCTGTTAATCAGTCCCGTCAGCCGGGTTCCCGTCTGAAGACGCCCAACTACCCCATCTGGATAACCAGCTGCACGGGGCACTTCGGCGTGATCTTCAACAAGAATCCGGACCTGCTGCGCAACTACCATGCGGAGTCGCGTTTCGACGTGAACTACTACAGCTGCTCGGGGCACCAGATCCTGATGACCATCGACAATCGCACCTACAACGAGCAGGCATTGGTCATGTTGGAGCGGCAACCAATCACGCCGGAGAGTACCTCGATGTCCGGAAAGGAGGACGGCGGGGGCGCTGCGTCGCCGACGGCCGTTTCCGGAGGAGGAGGTGCTGCTGCCGGCGGCGGTGTGGGTGGCGCTAGCGGCGGTGTTGGTGGTGCTGCTAGTGGCGCTAGCGGTGGTAACGATGTGGTCGCCAAGGAGGAGTCGACGCTCAACACGCCGTTGCAGCGTCTGATTCATACCAAGTGGGAAGAGGCAACTATAAGCTTTCACGTGCAGCCATCGATGTTGAGTTATCTTTTTAGTACCACTCAGTAGAATGCAGGATCTAAAGAGTCGAAAGTTTTGGGAACTCCTTTGCTAAAGTCAGACCGATTCACATTCAAGCGCAAGAGATATCATCAAAGATTAGTTAGCTATTGATTCTTTCAGAAAGAGATAAGGCAATAAAGTCGAATTAGTTGGGAGTTCATTTTTAAGTTTAAAATTTTATTTAAGTGGAGATCAGATAGTTTTGTGGAACTATTTTGGTTTTAAATTAGTTTATATTTCAGATAAAGTTCAATAATATAGTTACTTTTAAATTTTTAGACCTCTTATGTTTTTTAAAATCTTAGTTGTCCTCATTGTAATTCATTTAAGCATGTAAGCTTGTTATGTTGTCTCTTGATCTATGATATAAATCGACTTTCTTGGCGAATGACCAATGCACCATTGAATTAAAACGCCTATTTATATCCTCTTATGGATATAAGCTGTTTTAATTCGCATACCAAACAAGTAAGTTCCAAACGCAACTAGCAAAAAAAAAAATTGAAACACTGAAGATAAGCAGAAAATGTTGTACCTAAATAATTTCGAGAGTTCTCGATTACATTTTTCCCAGATTACTCCTGTTATAAGAGAGGTTTAGAAAAAACCCCTCAATCGTAGAAATAGCGTTTCGACAAAGTCAGAAAAACGTTTATAGATTTAAATACTTACCAGTTTAGCGCCATATAATGTAAGCTTACTAGATGATGCACGAGAATATAATTTAGATTGCACCAATTGTAGTAGAATTCTACTGTTGCTGTCTTTCCGATGGAAAATCGTTATTGGTATTTTAAAAAGATATAAATGGTCGGAATTGAAGACATCGAACCAAAACAGCGATGGTAAATACACGTAAAATATTCCAAGTATCTAATTAATGCGAACGAGCTAGGGCGGATTTTTGAAAAGTTGCACAGCCTTCAAAAATCTGCCTGGATGAGGCCTCTCTTTACGAGAAGAGCGACTACAGGACTCTAAACCAGTTGATTGATGCTGCCGCCTGAAGCCACTAGACGATATAATACTATCAGATTTTGTGTAGATCACCAACATGCTTCGATTACTCCAACCGCACTTTTCGATATTGTCAAGACTCTTTTCAAAATAAACGCTCATGTACAACCTCTGTGAATCCGAAAGGAGTACCATTTCTTGAGGGGAAATAAAACCATCCAGTGATTACTTTTGAAAATGCTTAAGAAAAGTTTATCAATTTATTGAAAGGTATTTGTATTTTGTTAAAAATGATTGAAGTTCCTTGCTATAAGTCCTGTCAGGTTTAAACATTGTATGTTGTAGTTTACTTGAATAAGAGAATAGTGTTAGACGTATTTCTGTATCTTTAGTATTCATTGAAACATTTTGAGATATTCTTGAAAAAGTTTTAGTGGATCTTCTTGAGAGTTTGAGTTCTCATCAAGACTCCGTTGTTATTTATTTTTGTAAGATTTTGTAAGTACCTAACTAATGCTTTGCGGCTTATCGTATTCCATATTCAATTGTATAAATTGTATAAATTTCGTAATACCATTTGTCAAAGTTTCCTCCCATCCCTGCGCTTCTCCCTGCTTTTGCGGGACGTGTAAAAATTTGGTTAGAATATCTGGTGATTATTATTTACATGTAGGCGATTTCAGTGCAGTTCATAACTTGAATATAAATTTCTTCATAAACTTAACTTAGCGTACTTATAAGTAGTGAAAAAGTGTTGCTTTGGAAACCCGTTACGGACGAAAAAAAAACGCATATCTTAGGCATACAAAGAGTTGTCTTCTCGTTCAACAAAATATCGTGCGGCGTTTAGAATGAAATTGATTTTGCCAAACTTTTGAGCCATTCAGTCCCATTAGCAGGACCCATTACAATGTTTAAACTGTGTCTCCCTTCGTCCTGCTCGTGTCCAATTTTTTTCTTCTGTTTCGTGCAATTTTAGTGAAGCACGCGATTTGGATTCTCTGGGGAAGGAGGCTCGACCATGCACGAGTTATCTGTGCCACTCGCCTCGAACATCCATCCATATGTCGGCATGAATTATTGAAGCGCTCGCCCCGGTTTCAGGAGAATTCGGGGAAATAAGTTTCGTTGACACCTTGCCCTAATTGATTGCTGATGTGGTGTTCAGGCCTTGACCTCGCACGAATCCCACGGACGGCAGTTGGAGGTCCTGGCTGTCGCAGGCAATTGGATTTTCCCACGGGAATGAAGAACCTTGGGGGCTTTTTTCTTTGGTCTAGGAACATCTTATCCAATTCGTTGCTGGGTGATAAATCCGTTTCAACTTAGAGCGTAAACAAATTTAAGCTTAATTTAAGCATTGCGATTATTTACAAAATAGTCGTGGACGCTGAGATATGATACAATACGTTACTTAAGGTATGATTAGGTATGTGTATGGTTACGATTACGTGTAGGGGGTCAAACAAAGCCTACGGTGCGTTCAATTATCATAGAGGTGTGTGCGCTTAGAGCCTAACTACTCGTATGATTATGGTAGTAATGTACACCGACTAATGATCTGATCAATTCTGATTGGTTTCTCCGGGCGCCGAGTTGTACCTGTACAACCCGTCAGAGCCACGGTCAAAATGGGAGCGAGTGGGCTCCTAGCTAAGCCTAACTAGCTAACTACAGTCAATATCCCTATGGGCGCACCAGCAACTTGTCAATGTGCTCCAGGTTCGTGCTCTTGTAGTGCGTCCTGTTCAGCGCCTGAGCGGGGGCGTTCTTCTTCGTCTGCGTGTGCCACGTGAGGATCTGTGGAACAGCAAATAATGTTGTAAGATTTATAAGAAATAGTTTGCAGAATAATTTTAATATTTTATTTGTACTTAGATTTATTTTTTTAAGAAGAAAAATTTACTTTTCATTTATTGTACGATTAATAAAGTAGTAGAAACTCAGAAATCACACAAAAATTTCTTTAGGAAAAATGTGTCACATCCGAAAATGCTAATAGTTTTTCCATGGAAGCTCAATTTTTTCTTTAAAGTGTTTTAAATTTAATATTTTTGTGATAAATTGTGATGTATTTAGGATAAAACTTTTTTTTTTTAAAACAACAACTTTTAGGTATGTACTGTGTCACCACCGATTATGAGGAGTGTATATTTCAGTAGAATTTTTAAATTTAAATTGTTGTTTTTTTTTTGAGAAAATGTTTACTTTTAAACTTTTCTGTGATAAATACATAATTAGAAAAACATGAACTACTTCACTTTAGCTTTATTTAAAACACAATGATAAAATATAGGTACTTATATCTACAATTATAATTGTAATTAAATAATTATTTAATGGAATCACTCACATCACGGCACTCGTCGGCCAGGAACTCGATTTCCGTACTGTCCAGTGGCGCCAGGCTGCGAAGGAAGCCGTCCTCCTCGTATCCCGGCTTAAAGGGCATCTGTGCATTGGGTCGCTCCTTCAGGAACTTGACGCTCACTGCGAATCCGGCCATATCCACGGGATATTTGCGACCTCCGATCCAGCCATCGTAAAAGCCCACCAATTTGCCGTCCTTAATTATGGGACTGCTTACGCCGGTCTTGGTCACCAGGCCAACGGGCCACATGGCTACTTTGGATATGTAGCGCATCTACATACAGGGAAAATAAAAATATTTTAAATTAAAGATTGTTATGAAACTTTTAAGTAGATTTTCTAGTCTTTGGGTTATAAATTATGCAAATAATAAAGTTGCGGATAGAAATCTTTTGAGGTAACTAAATATAATAATATAGATATTATCAAATCAAAGATCTTTTATTTTGGGGATAGTGCAAAATTAAATATGTACCTATCTTTATATTAAAGGTTTGCATAGGGGAGAGGTCTGTAGGTTGAGCCACCTTTTGTTTTTAGTCTCCCATTTGGACATTCGCTTTTGAAACTTCACGTGTTAGGTACCGATCGAAAGCTTAGTCTTTTAGCTGTAAAATAAAGCAACAAAAAAATTTTTTTCCCCTTGGGAAAACTAAAAAATAATTTTTTTTGAAAAGTGCCAAAAAATGACAATTTGAAAAAGAGGTCTGTAGGTTGAGCCACTTTTTAAAGTCAATAATACTCACACAAAAAGTACTCTAAACTATAAGGAACTATTTATTTATGTTAATTTAATCAATTTTAGTTCGTTCTAAATTATTCCCCATTCATTTTTTAAGAACTTCGACCAAATAACAATTAAAATCAAAAGGCTCTTTGAACATTCACTTTTCCCCTAATATCAAAGAAATGTGCTAGGCAGAAAGCGACCTCTGTTGGCCTAAGGCCTTTTTCTATGAAAAACGGGTGTCTCAACTTACACAAAATGGGATGTTTCGGGAAAAAATTAATAACTTTTGTTCTGACTGTCACATTAAGCTGATTCTTTTTTTAATTAGTTAACAGTTAATATACTAATGTTTTAAATCTCTTACCAAGTTAATTTAAGGACGTTATTAATTTTAAATGGAATTTTGAAAAAAGTAGACAAAAACTTTTTTGGTGCAAAATGGTACACGACTCTCACAGCTTAAATCTGGCTAGAGCCTGGCTTATAATGTTTTCCCCAAAAGTTTTGTCACTAAAAAGGACTACAAAAAAAAAATAAAAAAAAATTTTTTAGTGGAAAAGTTTTGAGAAAATTGAGTGTCTCAACTTACAGACCGTCTCAACTTACAGACCTCTCCCCTATATTTAATTTCTTTTAAAATGATTTCGAATTAAATTACATTCCTGATATATTTTCCAGCGGAACCAAGTTAAATTTAATTTCAATTGGTTATTTATTCCAATTTATCATCCAAATTGACATCTTTTAACCCCCAATTCGTGTAAATTGTGTTCTATGTACTGGGTGGGTCAAGGGTTAAGTTACCCGCCCACCTGCTGCTCCTTCTGCTCCTGCCTACCTGCTCGAATATGCTAATGTCGTAGGTGTTGTCGTCGTCGGCAAAGTAGAGCACTCCCTCGGTGGCATGTTGGCGCAGATACTCGAGGCCCCGATTCCGATTGGAGACGCCGCGCGGCTTGGCCCGCTTCGTCTGCTTGTACTTCTCGGGCATGGGTGCTACATGATGGCAGGGGAAATGGAAATGGGCGGAGGAAATGGAAATAGGTGCGATGTAGTGACTCGTAAATATCACTTGAATGTGTCCCGGACATGACACGGCACACGGAACCGATACTCACCCACCATGTACTCGTAGGGCACTCCGATCCGGTCCAAAACGTGGCCCACCAGCGGATTCGTCTTGTTGGCGTCCTCGATGACCAGCCAGAGCAGATTCACCACGTGCTTCAGGGTGTATCCCAGCCGGGTGAGCTCCGCCAGCTGCTCGGGTCGTCGGTAGGTGGGCGTGATTATGTACAGGGGCGGCTGTGGGTCGAGTTGATTTAAGTTGAGTTGAGTTGAGTGTCATTGGGTTATCTAACGCTGTGTATTGTACTACGGGGCGTATGTGTGCACTGCACTTGGACTGGTTTGGATGGGTAGTCTGGGTGGTTGGGTACTAGGTGGCTGAGTGCCTTGTTAGGTGCCAGTGGGTGGTGCGTAATGCGGCGTGAGCTTCTTTTTATGAGCAATTATGCAAATTAATTTACAGCCCAATGACTTGACTAGGCGAAAGCGAGCGAGCCACATCCGCCCATTGCCGTAAGTCTGTTTGCCTAGGCTCTGGTGAGGCAATATGGGTCGCTTTTCACTAGTCAAATGCACTGGGCAAAATTGAATAATGTTTCCATTAAGATTTTCCTTAAATTAATCGTTTTTTAAGGATAATATCATAATTGTATTACAGTATTTTAAACGTACTTCATTTTAACAATTTAAAAAAATAATTTTTTCGTTTAAACATTTATGGAAATATTTTTTAAATAAAAAATCGAGCACCCTAAAAAAACTAGTAAATGAATAATCTGAAATCCGATAAAATTCTTATGATTTTTGTGCATTGTTCCTATCCACTTTCCAATCTTTTGATCAAATCTAAATTTAATAAAAATTACATTTATTTATTTAATTTTTTTTTGTAGAGTGCACTCTACTCTGCACTTGTATTAAACACCCGTTCTAGATATGCTGTGCCTGTGAACTCGTGGCCCATTGAACGACTGACGTTGAAAATAAATAAACTGGCGCACTCACTTTGCAAATTGTCCATTGTTGACACACATGCACCCACATCCACCTCCCCATTCATCCACACCCACCGCATGCAAGGGGGTGGAAAATAAAAAATGCATTCTAATGTAGTTTTGCAAAATAAACTCAGATATTCAAATGTAAAGAGATAGGGGTGGGGATGGCATGCAAAGTAGCTTAGTTTTCATGATATCAGCTGATTTTATTTAACAGATCTCCTCCTCATCGCCTAATTTTCACAATATAAGTCGAAAGATCATTGAAATGATTCCTTAAATATTCTAGAATAGGATTGTAGAGTTAATAAAGTTACTAAGTATAGTAACCTTTTATTATTAAATTATAGCATACATATAGGAACCATTAAATCTCCAGGTAGTTTTAGAAAATAAATTCAGAGAAGCTATCTTTAATGCTAGAGTTCTTTATAAAATAATTTAAGGTTTCCCTTAAGATCCTACATAGTTTAAAAATATATATTCTTTATATTGAATGCTGAATTCCCAGTACACCTCTTAAATTAATGAGCTTGACCGTTGACATTGAGCGCAGGGCATTGGAATCGCTGCTGGTTGATGCAACTACTAAATGAGAGAAACCAACAAATGCGCGTGAATCTTTTCAATTGGCTTGCATTTTGTGTTTTGCATAAATCTGGAATCTAGATCAGAAACCACCCCTTTTCAGTGGTCGCTTTCAATGCTAGTAATTTTTCCATATTTTTTTGTCAGTTGCAGTTGGATGCGGTTTTGGTTTTTTGGTTTTGTTCGTGTGTTGCGCACCGGAGCAATTTTCAAATTAGGCTCATGCCAAATGGTGAATGGAGAACCTATTTGTTTGCCACCAGTTGCAGTGGCACGCCCTCAGTTAGTGAAGCTTGTTGGTTAATATAATGCATGTGATTAACCCAGAAATCGTGATACAGATAGCCGGCAACCAATTTGCACATGGTGGCCAACAAAAGTTGGTTAGATAAACAGCGCCATTTGTGCAGGTCAGCGTCGCTTTGTGCTGTTTGCATTGCGAAGTTGGTTGGTAATATATTCCCATTTAGGGCTTTAATGAGACCATAATTAGAAGTTGGTAAAGTAAATGTAGAACACATTTGTCACCTTGTTTGCTTTGGTTTCTGCTTAATTTAAATAATTGCCGAATTTATGTTGGTCCGTTTTAAGCCAGAAAAGTAAAAATGTAGGCCCTCAAGTAATTTCATCCTTGTTACAATTTCCACAAAAATATATGTGAGCTTTCCATCACCTTTAGAATTTATTTTATACTAACTTTTTGTTAAAAAAATGCTGCTTAAGATGTATTTTTGTTGAAAATTATAATATATTAATTAATTTTTCACAAATATGCGAGGTAAATTTTATATTATCCGATATTTAAAATTTTTAATATTTAATTTAAGTATATTTAAATTTTAGGTACTTTTCCAAGCCGTCCAGGATCGTTCTGTTTACTACATTAATGACTAGCGTGCAATGCACTTGCGAGTAGCACATGGCAATTAGGAAAATTAAAAAAAGGGGTGAAGAAAAGCGATAAGTGAGCCAACCAGAAGGTTTGCAGAGAGTATATTGATAGGGCAACAAGTGCGACATTCAGTTATCGAATAATGACAAGCAGCCAGACGCACAAACATTGGACAACACACAAACACTTGCTACAGACATGCACACGACAAGTGAAAATAATATGCAGATAAGCTCGAAATGCACTTCCGAAGATTAAAACGGAATAAGGGAAATGCGGGAGAAGCAAGAGTGTAATAAGTTTGGTTGGTTAGTTGTGGGTGCTGTGAACTTGAGGACACTGAGAGAAAAATGTATAGCTAAAATCAAGAAATCTATATTTTTACATTATTAACCCTCAATAATTTAAATTTACTTAAAAAAAAATACTTTTGAAATAGGGTTTTTAAAATTTTAAACCTTTTTTTTCAGTTTTTTGGTTGGTAAATTTATAAATTGCGTTTAAAATGTAATTTAAAATATATTTTAAGTTTTTTTCATGAAATTACGTTTTGAACTTTAGTATAATTTTTTCCCAGTGTACTTCAGGAAAGGGGGTGAGGTGCTCGGCTAGGATTATGATTATTTCAAAATATTTACGGGCACGGATGCGGCAACGAATGTTGGTCGAGTCTTATGGGCGTTTTCCGTGTGGGAGGCAGTGGGCGTGGCCGCTGCGGATGTTTTGGCGCTTGTTTTGGCTGTTGTTGTTGTTGTTGCTGCCACCCCACTGGCGGTGGCTACTGTTGTTGTTGTTGTAGTTGTGGTTGTGGAGCTTGTCTTAATGCCTGCAGTCTTTCGATGACCACCCACCGATCCTGATCTTAGTTGCGATGCAGAAGACATAAATGTGGGTATGGTGGCCGCTAATGAAACCATGCGAATGGAGGCTGAGGATGCACCACCCAGCTTTTGACCCACTGTGCCCGTGGATGCTGTTGTTGTTGTCGTTTGTGGTGGAGCTGTTGTTGTTGTGCTTGTTGTTAGGGACTGGTTAATTGTGTTCGAGGAACTATTCGCCATTAGCAGGGAAATGGGTGACCACAAATATGAGGCGATATATGACGATGATTTCTCTTGATGCTAAAGTTAGTGGGCAATGAAGGGGTTATTAAAGGGGGGTTCAGAGGAAATAGAACAAGAACACATAGAAAACATTACAATAGTATATAATTCTAGTTAAATTCTAATGTTTTAGTAGTAATGGTTATTGTTAGGTGAGCTCGGGATGCCATATTTTGTTTGTTTTATTTCTAAGCACGTATAACTCTAATCATCACTCTCAGTTTAACACCATAATTAGGCACCTGCTTTATTATTCCGTGCTTTTAGCTGTTTATGCTGCTATCTACTTTTTATTGCAGCCAAAAGCAAGTAACACATGGTACATAAACTGTACAGATGTACTTGTTTTTATTGTTTCCCCTTTTTCGTTATAACGCTCTTAGTTTCTCCGAAATATGACAAATAAATGCTATCATAATGGATAACACTTCGTAGTTCACGTTCTTTTGTTACTTTACAGCAAAGAAAACATTAGCTGTTCCCACGATTTTCGTGCTCTATGTTCTACCTAACTAATCATAAATAGATAATAAATAGTTTACTTGGCATTGAGGAATTCGATATTAATGAACTATTATTTATTATAGGTCAGGGAAGGCCAAAAACTTTCCTTTCATTTAGATTACTCCAGATATTAGCATTGCCCAGGTCTGATAAGATTATTATATTAGGCAATTACCTTTGACACCAGTACAGTGGAAGATAAATTATGATGCATGTAGTGCAATATGTTATTTAGAAGAATAGGGTGCGTTAAAAAAAGTTTAGGGATTAATCAACAAGTATTAATATTAAAATAAAAAACTTATCCTTCTAAACAGTTCTTTTGGATATCCAAGTTTTAGCTAGCAATACTCTTACTATTATTTGTAAAATCATGCTAAAATGCCACCATCAAAGAATTTTATTCAATAATTTTGTATCACAAAATGTTTTCTTATATATTTTAAGATCCCATTTGGAGTTTTCTCCCAGTGTACTTACCTTTACAACTTCACCGGCGGCGAAGGGTTCTCGGGATATGTGGTACTGATAGAGGGCCATGTAGATGCAGGTGGTCAGAATGAAAATGGTCAGGTACATTTTAATGGATTTGCCCAGCGACATTTTGCCGGTGCCGTTGCCACTCGTATTAATTCCACTGTACATGTTCAGATTTGTGTAGTTGCCCTTCATGTTGATAGAAAGATCTGGGAATATCCCGGACTTTTCGAACTGCTGTTGCACTTGCAATATGTGTTGCTATTGCACGTGCAATATGTGTTGCTGTTGCTGATTCACTTGCAATATGTGTGGCTGCTGCTGCTGTTGCAAGTGGTGATTTCTTTCGTGCTGGCCGCGTTGCTCTACGTTGGTTTGTTGATTTCATTCGTTCGCTTTCGAATTTTATTTTTTATTTTGCTCTGGTCTTTTTTGTCAACTCTGCTGTTTCGCTGCCTTTGCGGTTTTGATTTGTTTTATTTCATTCCATTTACTGGCATTCTGATTTGCTTCTGATTTTCACGCAGGGCCGAGCGGAAGGGGCGGGACGGAGGCGAGGGGCGGGACGGCCGACGATAGGGCGTGTATCTCGGTACGCAACGAGCTCTGAAATGGTATGGTTATTATGTTTATTCTCGTTTTATCGCACTTGCTGCTTCTATGTATCCATATAAGTTTATATACTAGGCTGGCATATCAGTTTGGTGAATGGATGGCTCATTGTGTGCCCATATTTTAGTTGATAGTAAAACTTACACTTACAGTTTATACTATTCGGGGCATCGGAAACCTGAAAAGAATGTAGGAAAACAAATAAGAAATTAGTGTGGTTACTAAAATTACCAAATATTTAAAAATAAATATTTTTTTTAAATGTATATCAAATGGTCGGGGTTTTTCCCTTTTAAAAAGTTTATCAATAGACCAAGCAAGAAGACAAATAAATATATCTTACATTCATAATATAGCTTGACTCAACGGAATATTTTTTGATAAAATATTTTTTATAAAAAATAATGCAATTTACGAATTATGTAGCATTAAGTATGTTTGATAAGAATGTTAGGGAAGGTTTAGTTGGGGCCATTTAAAAATTATTTTAAGCCATTACGCATTATATTGTCAAATTGTAATAATAATATAAAGGCTCGGAAATAAATGATGCCTTATTGTGATAGGGTTCGTGTTAATTGAATAGTAGTTATTAATTAAAACTATTCAAATTAATTAAAATACTTAATTTTTAAAAGGAAGTGGCGGTTTAATGAATTTACCTATTTGCTTTTACATGTAAGTATTTAAGATGTCTTTTATCTGTTAAAGCTATCTGTGTTATACATTTCTTTAATGCGTTATTTTAATAGGTTGGATTGCCCGATGCAGTTCGGCTAATCACTTGTGCTTAAAGCAACGACCTCCTAACCGCGTCGACTACACTTTCCACTCTTCCATTGTAATTTGCGCAAAGTTGTTAACAACTGCCTGGGGAAATAAGAACAAGGGAAAGGGGTCTATCAGCTGGTAGCGGAAGTTGTTCTTCCCCAGACCCAAGCACATGCATTTACCCATGTATATGTACACGTACATATTACGTATACGCCTGTGGTACTGGCGATTCTTACAGACTTTTCCAATTATGATGGGGCGCGGCTGTTGGGTCTCGCGTGTTTAAGCGTTTTTAAAACCATTTTCGCCGGTGCTGCCGCTGTTTTGATATGAAAGTTCAATGGCCAATTTGAAATGTGCTGCGCTTTGCATGATTTCAACAAAGTTGGGCGCCGTTTTGTTCTTCGCTTTAGTTTAATTTGGTTTTGTTCTCGGCTCTGTTTTGTATTCGATTCAATCCGCATGCAATTAAAGTGCACCCGCGGTTACGGAAGTCATTTTGCTAACTCTGTTGCTAACCATTTTTGGACGGGATGAATAATATTTAAAATCCCACATTAGGTGGAAATTAATTACATTTATCATATTATTCATATTACCACAGGGTATAATATAAATAGAAACATCATACCAGATAAGATACGTTAAATTATCAAGAACCGTCTGTCAATCGTGACATCTGTTGTTTTTATCTATAGATATTTATACAACACGTAAGTGCATGATTGTAGATCTGTTACCATTTTTAGTTTCACAAAGATATTATGAGATAAATTAAGTGCCATGTTGGTCTTAGTTATGTGATTAATAACGCAAGATATGTTTATAGAAGTTCTTATCATCGCTATGCTGAACCATTAGTGGGCTAGAAATAAGCTGTAATAAATTTGTGTTGACATTTTAAAAATAAACTTTCGAGAACTGTTCGACAAATGAATATTTGATTCAATTTTCAACATCCTCGATAGTATAGTGGTTAGTATCCCCGCCTGTCACGCGGGAGACCGGGGTTCAATTCCCCGTCGGGGAGATGTTTTTTTCTTTTTAGAAAATATTATTTTTATATTTTTTTTAAATCTATTTTCCGTTCAACTTGTGTATCAAAAGAAAAATTGCTAATTAAATATCACTTCACTGGCAGCAAGTATTTTACGAATTCATATTCGAGAAAATTGTATTATGGTAGCTTTTCAATGGCTCTGCTATCTGGCAAGCAATTTTAATAAATTTAAATGCCTCGCCCAAAGGCCTGACCAAAGCAGACCAAAGCACAAAATGCAATTATTAACAAATACTGCAAATCTCTTTATGCCCGTTGGCAGAGTTTTCAGACATTGCTCGGCTTTGGTTTTAATGAATAAACTGGATAGCCGAGCGGCGGAGCAGGATGCAGAGGCAGGATCATGAACTGTGGCCGGTCGCCCGGAAATGGGAAATCATTTTGGCCAAACGTCAAAGCAAGAGCACAAATGAAAAATCTGGGCGAGAACAATTTAATGTCAGAACTTAACCCATTTACATGACAATTCCAGCACACCGAGGCCAACAAATAAAGCCGCAACGAAAAAGGAAACAACTGGAAATATATGTAGCCCAGTCAGACGGGAGGCCCATCAAATGGGCATGGCTGGGTGCACTGTCCCAAATCATCAAGAAAATTCATATTCAGCATGTATAAAAGGTTATTGTAATCACAGCATTTAACGTATTGTAATGGAGAATTAAACTAATAATAAAGTTAACAACTTTTTTTACAACATGTTTTGGAAAAAATGATTTAAAAACATTTTCAAAAATATTTTCTTTTCGATTATAAAAAAATATAATTATTTAAATTAATAACTTCGGATATAAGTTGTATTAGATTGAATACTTTAGCAAAAAAAGAAATTGGTACACTCAGAAAAAAAATCGCCCTGAATTTTAGAAAATCGCCATACTTTTTAAGCCAAAGGCAGCTCGCCTTGCCTTTTAGAAAAAATATTTCTAAAAATTAGAAAAAAAATTTCTAAAATTTAGGGTTAGTTTTTGCAAAATTGAATAAGAAGAAGAAAAAAAAAATCGGGAAATCGGGAGTTATGCCGACTCCACCCCTCTGTCGGTGTGGGGTGTTGTCGTTGGGGTTCTCGTTTCTCAACTTATTTATCTCTCCTCTATTTAAGCACATGGATGACGTCACGATGCTTGTACACAAGCACACTTTTAATCTTAAATTGTAACTGAAATAATAACTGAAATTATTATATTATTTATTAATGATAAACATAAAAATCAAATAACTTACTATCTTGAGAAAAACATTTGGGTCGCTCGCGGGATTCGAACCCCTTACCTCACAGTTTGCAGTCAAACACTCTACTAGCTGCGCCAGGGAAGCATCACGAGAGGCGCTGTACAAAGTACATTCTCATTCTGTTCTCTTGGTTTCTAGGTTTATACTCTTATTTATCCATTATGTGTGTGTTAGCTTGCCTAAATCCTTATTTGTATTAAAGTATACATTTTAATTCGCAAAAAAAAAAAAACAAGACGCAAAAAATGTCCACCTTGACGTGGGATCGAACACACGCTTCCGAATATAAGCGTAGAAAACAAATAATCCGCTCACATTAGACCCCTAGGCTACCGATTGGGCCAATTTCCTAAAATGTAAGGCAATTTTTTCTTAGTTTGAAAGAAAATTTTCTGAATAACAGAAAATTTTTCTAAAAGTGAATAACAAGAGGAGTTGATCTAATCAGGGTAAGTTTTTCTTATTATTTAGAAAAATATTTCTGAAAAATAGAAATATTTTCTGAATTTCAAGGCGATTTTCAAAGTATGGCGATTTTCTAAAATTTAGGGCGATTTTTTTTCTGAGTGTAGATGTAAAAAACACATAAATTTACAAATATTCAATTCTCAATTAGGATAATGGCATAAAGTAAAATAATATTATCAATTGTGGCAGATTTTAAAACTGACCGCTTCAGAAATTAATATAAATATTTTCCGTGTAGCGTTGGTGGGTGGGTAGTGATGAGAAAAAACAAAATACCACACAAGTGGGTGCCAAGTGCTGACAGAGGAAAACCCGGAAAATGGAGGCGGGGTTGGAAGTTACGAGCGGGTCGCCGCCAGAGTGGAAGTGGAACCCTCTGCCATTGCCAGGGTTATGGAGAGCGGCGTCGAGGAGCTGCACCGAACACCACACTCATAAAAATAATTTTCTACATTTTAGAAAATCGCCCTAAAAAAATTTTCGCCCTTGAACTGAGAAAAATTTTCTATTTTCACGACAAATTTGCCATAAATTCAAGGCAGGTGACCATAAAAAAATATTTTTAGGGTTAATTTTTCTACTTTTCTAATATTTAGGGCGATTTTTTTCGATTTGCTTCGTTTTGACCTTTTCTAAATCCAACGGCGAATTGCCCTAATTTTTTTTCTAAAATTTTTCTAAATACAATGCGATTCGCCTTAAAAATCACTCCAAAAGTGTGAAATTCGGTAGCGCAGCGGTCTAATCACTTGCGCTTTCAACTTTGCTATATGAGGACTAAGGTCGTGGGGTTGTGGGTTCGAACCCTGTGTGATTCAACTTGATTTTTATGTTTTTTTTTTTTTTTGTAAACATTATAATACTGAGGACATTTTTTCGTCCGAATTTTAAATTAAAGTAGTCTTTAAACCTTAAAAATGTATGGGAGTTCTGAGTTAAAAGCATACTTTGTGTTGCGGGCAAGAAAACGGGACTAATTGTCACAGTCGTCAGGAAAAAAAATATACGGTTTAGTTGCCTTTAGTCATATTATAACGTAGACCTCAAGAAAATAAGATGTGTGTCGAGTTTGTTCGTCGTCTTGCGCGAGGGGTCTGTGGTGCAGCGGTAGGACGTTAGACTCTAAACCGAGAGGTCGTGGGTTCGATTCTCGCAATGACCAAAAAAAGTAAGTTGTTTTTTCTCCTCATATTTATTTCCCTTATTCATTTACAAACATGATTTTTCAGTTCTAACGGCTGTGCTGTATAGATCGGGCCCCCCTCTTAACGCGGCTCCCATATAAGCTACACACCAATACAATAATATGAAACGGTGTCCTCCGCCGGTGTTGTTTAATTAAAGCAGTCCCAGTTCCCAGAATATAGACGATTAAAAAAAAAAACATGCTTCCCAAATTCAGTTAAGCATGCTCAAACACGATTTTTTTTAATTTGTCTAATTTTTTAGGGCATTCGCCTATAAAAACAGGAAATTCG